TACGTAACATCAGTGTTATGTAATAAGTTCAGTAGCATCAATTACAATTTGAAATATGAAATCTTTTAAACATAAATACTTTCTTTTGTATTGGTTCCTCACTTCAATTCCTTTTACAATGTGGCTAAATGCCTTATTCCTAGTTTTTATGGTCTATTTATTTTTTTATCTTTAATTCACAGGTCGAAATAATTTAATAGTAGAAGGCGTAATATCCGATAACCCAGGATTCAGGAATTTGTACAATGAACAAGTTCTTCCTCAAATAACTGCAGAATACGCATTCGTTCTCCGATGGTTCCACGTTATCCAGGAAAATGAACAAAAGTACGTAATGTCTAATTAGTTCGCGATACAAATACGAGCCCAGAAAAAATATGGTACCTACCAATTTTTTTGTTTAATAGGTAAGAAGTCATAAATATAAAATATTTGAAGCCACGATAGCCGAACGGTAAAGGGGTCGGACTGGCTGACTCGCCATCCGAGGAACACGGGTTCTAACCCCGACGCTCGACTATTGTGGCCCACTTGTAATACAGGCATATTTTGTGCTTAGTACGAGGGGGTAGCTAGCGGGACCATTTAAGTAATTTATGCAAAAATAAATTATTAATAATAAAAAATACAACTTTTGTATTTCTTACCATTGACAACTTTTAAATGGTGTGCAATAAGAGTAGAATTCTATTTTCATCTAACAATGGATGACCCAGTAAAACTTCTCCTCTAATTCAGGATGTACGACGCCGAAGGAAACTACCTAAGATCAGTGCCGCTCACGAACATCACGCTGCGAACTGGATACTTGGCCATCGACAACAATATAGACTACATCACGCAAGGCGTCTTCCGCCAAGCTGGAGGGAGGTTCGACAATCTGGTGGACCCTGATGTAAGTAAAGAAATGTAGTTTTGTCCATCCGTTTTCAGCAAAAGACGTCCAATGCTGGACAAAAGCTTCCATTTCAAAGCGACCGGTCATGCCCTGCCCGCAAATAGGCATTTCCTGACCGCGACTATCATAATAGGTATCCGGATGATCGGTCCACCAAGTGTAATGTTGTCTTCATTTTATTATGACAGAATTGAAACAGAGATTACAGCCTTGGACAGAAGTTGGTGGAAGGTTGAAGATGAGGCCTATATTCGAAGACGAACACCAAAGGCTAATATAAAGAGAAATATAGATAGATGTCACGGCTGAGTTCCACCTTATTTTAACCGTAAGATTAATAATAACCGGTGCTTTTGTATGGATTTTGACAGATTTTTGACGTTGATCAAAATTAAAGTAAGATGGTTCAACTCAATCTAAGAATGAAATACCCAATTTAGTGTCATAGAAACTTCAGTGTCAATGTAAGTCAGGTTTTAATTGGTAAAGCTGTCATGGGTCTCGCGACCTGTCATTGGCCTATGATCACGCCGGCGATGGCGATCTGCACGCGTTGGTGTCCAACGTCTGTTTACCAATATTACTTACATTCACAGATAGCTGAAATTGGCCTGGGGCCTATGACAGAAGGCACCGACATAACGACCTTCGACCTGGTGAAGAACCGACATTTTGGCTTGGCGCCGTATGTCAAGTACTTGGAATTCTGCAATGGAAGGCACTTTGACACATTTGATGACCTTGCTGGCTATATTAAACCTGAGGTATGTATGATATTCATATAATATACATAAATAGTCGTAATAATAGCTCACACAACCCAACGTGGGTTGGTGATGATCATGAAGTAAGATTAAGATAAGATACATTTTTTCGTTCCATTACTACGTATGTGATCAATTCTGTAGCAATACTGTCGAAACTTTAAACTGCACGTAGGTAAATATTACATAATATTTCTTTCTGCTACCTACCTGTGCACAGTACAGTAGCCAACAAGTTCGTAACACCTCTGTGTTACAATTGGAATAAGTTATCAACTCATTGACCACTTTGGGTGTCACGAACTAATACATTGTTGGCATTATGTAAGCTGTAAAAACCAGTGTCAAACAGCATCCATTTTTATTTGGCAGAATCATTTTCCAACTGACAATTATTTCCAGATGTTAGACGTCATCAAAGACAAGTACAAGCACATCGAGGACATCGACCTCATGGCTGGTCTGTGGACGGAGTTACCAGCTGAAGGCAGCTTCCTCCCGAAGACCTTGCAGTGTCTGATGATGGACCAGCACGTACGGTTCGTGGTGTCCGACCGGCATTGGTACGAGAGGAATAATAGGCCGCACGCTTTCAATCTAGGTAAGAATAAAATAAAAATAACAAAATCCGTTCTCATAAAATGACCTCAGCCTTTTGTGTATAAACAGCTGATTAATTATTATTAGTTGATTCAATTTGGAAAGGGAACATCTGTCGAGATGTATAATCCATCGTGAAAATTAAGAGTTATAAAAATGGGATACATGTTTTTCTAAAAAAAAATCGTGTTAGTCCGTATAACTATTGTTGACGTCAGAAGTAATAGGTAATACAAATTGTTTTCAATCGGATCTGCCACATATTAATCAAAGTACAATTTGTTTCTACACACAATGATTTATTAAGAACTACATAATATTTACACAGATGTGCTTATTTACGAACTTAGTGAACAAACATACAAGAAATGCAGCCGTACGGTCTCCTACAACTACGTATTAGTTTCACCAGTGATTGTAACGAATCCAGTGATATGCTAGATACCAATTAGTTTACGTTAAAAATAAAATGTCAAAAAATACATGTAATAAGTAGTACTAAAAAAAATTACGAATGTAATTTTGACTATTTTTTTTTTCAGAGCAATTACTTGAAATAAGGAAATCAACTGTTTCCCGCTTGCTGTGCAACGTTGGTGATACCGTAACTGAGATCCAACCGAACAGCTTCTTGAGACTTGGGCCTGGGTAAGTTTCCAGTCCTCGTCATTACTATTGGGTTACATCAGCTAGATTCTACTGCAGTATTGAGTAAACGCTATCTGTCTCAAATAGGCAGCGCTTGGTCACAAACAGTGTCTCTCGGACTGTCAGAAATGAAGAATGTCACACGCTGCGATTTCTAGTACGTGGCCTCCATTCCAGAACCTCTCTATGCCGTTCCATCGGCCGTCAGTTCTGCCCTTGGTACTATTACTTATTTTGTAATTCTGCGTACTATGTGCCCTCTCATTGCCATTTCAACTTACTTGGTCCATCCACAAGGTGAACCAACGACAGATGTAGCAGGAAGTTTGATGCAGACCAACCGGGAGATATGGAAATCGTAGGTGGTAGGTACTGTCGCTGAAATGATGATGATGATGAAATGAAGTGGAACTGGACTATTGTGATGGCCTAGCTGGATTTAGGCATCTTACATGATTCAGACCAAGCCGGTATCCACTTCTATTTTGATGGACTGGAAGTGTTTTACTCCGAAATGGTATTTGATCTACTGGTGGAACAAATCAGTATACAGACCTCAGTGAATCGAGGGACATGATACGTAGTGCCCTAGTTCCCTAACCTTTAGCTAGGTTTCTCCTAACTTCAGCTTATAAAGCCTTACTGTTTTGCTTCAGAAACGAAATAACCAGCTGTGAGAACCTCCCCACCATCAACTTCTGGGCCTGGAAGGATCCTGCTTGTGGTGGGGGAGGCTCAACCTACTGGTACAGCAGCGGCGATAACGAAGGAAACCCCCACTTTTGGGCCGAAGCTACAGATTGATTAATTAAATACATAGTTGCAAGCCCGAAGAATGTAATGTTAAATGTGTAATGTATTTGGAATAAATATTATTAAGGTCATCTATTCTAGAATTAGGTGACCGTACGTCTACCTTATTATATGAAGCAATATTTTACAAAATGAGCAATGTTGATAAGTATTAAATTATTGCTAGTTAATCTGAGTTTTTTTTTAATTCTTCTAATTATTTTGCGAAGTTTCGATAGCAGAGGAGAACTAATTTATTTGAAAACATACCCCATTTTTGTATTTCTTTTAATATGTAGCTTGTACGCTCGTCAATATGTAATGTAATGTTTATGTAACGCACTTGTGAATTTTATTTAAATTCTTGTGAAAAATAAAGATCTTTTAAACCTTATTAAAAATGCTATCTGGAATAGATTACATAATCACAACACTTAGGCAAATAAAATGAGTACCTATACACCCATTCACTAATGTAAATATTTTAAAAATGCGTTTAATAAAGAAGCCATCCCAGAAGTCTCATCCATTTCTCCATAGGGCCTTACGAAAAAAAAATATACACATTTTTTTATAACAAGTAACTGTTGTAAGGCCTCATGTATCGCGGTTAATGACTCTATAAGCATATTAATTATTTATTTTAACTAAACTACCGTTAAAACCTGTTTTATTATCTATGTTTTAGTGTGCAAACTTTCAATGATACAATGAAGCATACTCTAGTCCCAAAAACGGTGTGTTTCTACAATGTATTATGTTATTGTCCCTACAGTTCTTACTTATTTTATGTTCCAATTTATTGTTCTCGTGGTCGATATTTTGGGATTATCTAAGTGAAAGTAATTTATATTTTTTTTTATGCATAACAAGCCAATATATGACCGCAATATTGCACCTGGTGTTAAATGAGATGCAGTTTAGGATGTTACATTATCTGCCCTGTAAGTGTCTATACACTCTCTCCTTGATAAGTGTTCTGGGAAGAGAACAGACAGCGAATTCCAGTTCCTAGTTATTCACATTATAAAAGATTCCATAATAATAATTTTATCCAATAGTGAACTGGCTTGCAATATTTGGGACGTGTATAAGTGCCCTAGAAAGGGCTTATGTACTGAATAAACTATTTGAATTTGAATTTTGAACTAGTTATGTCGAATTCATGATTTTCATGACGAAAATAATAAAAAAAATACTTAGAATATTAAGCAAGCTGACTGTACATAACACTTGTTCACGCACACATTAATTACTAAATAAAATAAAGCCAACTTAGTATAAATTGTCACTTTTGTACCGACAATACGCATTTGTTTTTCTAGAATTATAAAGAAATGTAAAAATGATTCCGAAAATATTGTATGTTTTTAGTTTACTGAGTTTGGTTTTTGGAAATGAAAACAGTTGTCTTTATTATGATTCGTACCATGGAGAACCCATAACAGAAGAAGAGTATCAACAACGTGTGGTAGAAAACACAACTTTGTGAGTAGTTCAGTTTTCTAATAGGTAATTTGTTTTATAATCCTAAAGAGAAGAAATCCTGTGTAGTGATCCTTTTTTTAAACCGGTCAATCGTGATCAAAGATTTTACCCAGGTTATACAGGGACGAGTAAAAGTGCTTTTTAAAAGCCTACTTGCAAAAATAAAATGGGTTTTATGGATTTTTTATGAGTTATGTATGAAAAGAGAATTTCTACGCCATGAAAAAACTCATACTTTATGATAAAGCAAATAATTATGTAACCTACTTACTCGTATAATATTGTTTTAATAATAAATTAATTCGTATTTCATTCTGTACCTACATACTTAGTTAACTTTTTAAAAAAATAAAACCGACTTCAAATGCGTGAACACAAAAAAAACTAAAAATTAAAAATATTGCGTATAAAAAAGTTCATCCCCAATTTTCCACCCTTGGGGGTGAAATATTTTCTTCAAATTCGCATGAAACCACCCTTTTGATAATACCTATTCAACAAAAAAATAATCGTTCAAATTGATTTATAATCGGCGGAGATATTGCGTATAAAAAAGTTCATCCCCAATTTTCCACCCTTGGGGGTTGTTTTTTCTATTATTAAATTTAAATGGGACCACCCTTGAGGTATTACCTATACGCCGAAAAAAGATTTGTTCAAATCGGTTCATAATTGGCGGAGTTATCGCGTAACAAACATAGAAAAAAAAAAAAAAACATACGGGTCGAATTGAGAACCTCCTCCTTTTTTTTGAAGTCGGTTGATAATAATATTTGCATCCAAGATGTTTGTGTAGATTTACACATTTTTATTTTCCATTACGTCTACTTGAATGAAATCGGTACTGTACATAGGTATTTTGAAACCATTATCAATTAGGCTGATGAAGTCTGAGAAAATTTGCGACCTTAAGGCGTTAGAAGATTACAGAGCAATCTAGGAACTTAACCAACAATAAAACTCATAAGACTCATTTATTTATGCAAGTAGGCTTTCAAAAAGCACTTTTACACGTCCCAGTATTAACCCTACCACTGCTTCAGGACAATAAATGGGCCAGTGCTGAGAAGAAGCAGCGCAAGAAACTCAGTCACTATTAGGTACCTACACAGAATACCACGGCATCAAAAACATCTAATTTCTTTCAGCTGGTGCACGAATGTACTCAGTACTTGCAATCCCGATGAATGGAGGCGTATTGATGGCTCGTGCAACAACCTGTGTCATCCCAATAGGGGGATGCCACACACACCTACTCTGAGACTGCTACCGGCCTCTTTTTCGGGGAACGTTGAAGAAGGTAATGACGTATGTTGCTATTTATACAGTTGGTTGGTTACCGATTTCGTTTATATTGATTTATTTCCTTTGGACAATTACGCACAGCGCCAGCTAGCCCCAAAGTAAGCAAGTTATATGCTTGTGTTATGGGTGTGTTTTTTAAATTCATGCATATTATACATAGTAACACCCAGACCCGTTACAGAAATTAAAATTCATCATTTCAATTTCTGCCCGGCCAGGAGCCCGGGACCTTTCGGCATAGCAGTCCGTTTTGAACCATTACTCCAAACGGCCGACTATTTATACAGTTGGTTAGTTACCAATTTAGTTTTATAAATTCTTTCAAAATATTTGACGACGATGAATAGGTATTTAATATGCAGTGAGTTGTATGACAAATACCAACATAAAGTTAAGCTTATCACAAACCAACATTGGCAAGGGGTTAGTTACTCTTTAATGCGAAAACTACTCAACGGATTTTGATGAAACTTTACAGTTTTACTGTATATTCTTTTTTTTTTTTTTTTATTGGTTTTCTTTTGTTATTGTAAGTTCATCTCATATTCAATTCATGTAGGTATTCAGTTAAAGCTAATATAAGTATTAAGTTATTTATTAGTAACCTAAATTGTTTATTTATAGCGTCTGTATTAGAGGAAGGCGCTAATGACTGCGACACAGTCTTTGACTACTGCAGTCATTAACGTTTCATTTGTCTATGCACAATTGTAATTGGCTACAAATAAAGTTTTTATTTATTTTATTTATTTATTTATTTATTCTACGGGTTTACAGGCTATAATAATTTATAACGATCTATGAAAAACTGAATTTCACGTAAGAGAAGGCGAGGGCGAAAAAAAATTACACGCAACGATAAGTGTCAATGAAATCTGTGATTTAAATTATGTGGTTTGTTTCCAGGTTTCCAGATCAGAGATTCCAAATCAGGCGACCCTCTGCCGGACGAGCGTCCGCTGCGCACGAGTCTGCTTCCAGAAGCACGCGTCCCTGACCAGGTGTTCACCCAGCTGGTCGCCCATTATCTGTTGTTCTCAGTATCAGATACACTTTCCATTCATGACAGTAGTAAGTTTCATCATCTTTAATTGCCTATAGCTCACATCAATATTTATAACTATGTTTATAAAGACTGTAAACCCTTGTAAAATAGGCTGACAATAGTGAGTTTCTTGCGCTGCTTCTTCTTGGCACTGGCCCATTTATTATCCTGAAACAGTGGTATGGTTAATACTGGGAGGTGTAAAAGTGTTTTTTAAAATTCTACTTGCAAAAATAAAATTAGTTTTATGAGTTTTATGTAAGTCATCGTGATAATTTCAGCCATTGGACGTCCACTGCTGAACCTCCCCCAATGATATCCATAATGACCAGTTGGTAGCGGCCTGCATCAATCGCCTTTCCTGCCTATTTTTATTGAGGTCGTCGGTCCACCCACCGCGCTTTCCAGTACGAAGTAGTATTTTTATCTATGTATACGAAAAGTGTGCCGAAACTATCTTGTTTTTAACATTTTTTCGAAAAGTTTATCAATTAATTTTGAATTTGCGTGAAGATAGTGTTATTTCTATGCGTTAAAGTGTGTCATGGAAGCATTTTACCACTAATTTATTTATTGTGTAGGTGTTACTTCATACACCAAGTTTGTAGGTATCTATTTCAAGAAAAATAAATATTTCAATAAGAACGCACGCTTTCCTTGAACTAGATAACGCTGTGTAAAATTCTAGTAAATTTATTTAAACTCTTGAATTTCTATTTACAGTTAACTTCGTACGTTGGAAGCCATATTGCTGCCTGCCTCAGGGTAAGAAGGACAGAGACTGTGTGCAAGTTAAAATACCAAATGATGATCCTGTACATCGGTTTAGTCATCTCCGTTGTATGAAAATAACCAGACCTCTCAGTTACCAGTCTGAAGGCTGCTTGCAGAACGATACTGTTCCAGAAAGGGTATGTATGAATATACTGCTTAAAAAATAAACCACATGTTAGCAAAATGTATAAGGAGTTTACCGTAATGATCAGCAGTAGCCAGATTTTGAATTAGCGTTCTTTGAATTTTGAATCGATATTCTGAAACCGACAGAAACTCATTTTTTTTTAAACTTTCAGATAATATCAGCAACACCCTCTTTAGATTTGTCCGGCCTATACGGAGCAGATCCTGCCAAGCTTGCTAAGAAAGGAAGGCTATTCAAAAATGGTCTTCTCCAATATGAGCTGATAAACGGAAAAATGTGGCCACCTAACGTCAAGTCAAACGACACCCTTTGTATCCTAAATGAACCACCTGCTGAAACCAGATGCCATGCCACTCGTAAGTATCTATATACGTAGAAAATATCCCATCAAATCCAAAAGAGTATAATCAGAACCAGAATCATCCATATACCCGTGGCCCGTAAGTATTATAGATAGAAACTATAGGTGCCTTCAAATTAGAGGCATGAAAAAGTGATGCAGTGGCACCAGAGTGTAGCACACTTGCCTCACCATTACTAGTTTCTAGAAGTACAATATCTAGAAGCGCAGCTGCAGCTCCACTGTCGTGAAAAATTTAAAGACAGACATTTAAATAAACGTCATTACATTATTGTTTATTACAATTTTAGCTGAAGACGCACTCAACAGTCTCCCCGGTATAAACTTATTTGGGATTTGGTTCTGGCGCTTGCACAACTACATAGCCTCTGAGCTGGCTAAGGTCAACCCCTGCTGGAACGATGACAAGCTGTTCTACACCGCAAGGGACATCAACATTGCTATTTCACTCCAAATATATTTCTACGAATTGATGCCTTCGCTTATGGGTAAGTCGGCTAACTCGTGCGTTCACAATTTTATTCATATTTCTTGGATGTAACTTTAGTGTGCCGTAAAATGTTTTTACAAAAGTTTATAATGAATAAAAAATATTTTCTTAACTGATGTTGAAATACACTCTTATCTTTAACAGGTGTCACTAACTTGCTACGAGCGGGAGTATTATCTCCACACCCTGGGTTCAGAGATGTGTATAACCCACAACATTTTCCTCAAATATCGGCTGAATTCGCATACGCCCTCCGATGGTTCCACATTATTCAAGAAAACGAACAGAAGTTAGTAATATTTATGATGACTTTAAAATTAGGTACATTTAGTTTTGTGACCTACTTCCTAGTATGTTATGCACAAGTAGGTTTCACTGCTCTCATGAGCAACTTTGTTTTTCAATTGCATATTCTTTACCACAGCTACAAACTGTGGCTTTTTGAACATTTGCTGATATTCATTGTATTTTTCCAGAATGTACGACACTAAAGGAAACTACCTGAAATCAATGCCACTGACGAATTTAACCTTGAGAACAGGATATCTGGCTATAGATAACAATTTGGACCACATCACACAAGGCGCCTTCCGTCAACCAGGTGGAAGATTCGAAAGTTCAGTTGATCCCGATGTAAGTTCAAGGATTTTTTCTAGCATCCTCTGATACTAAGTTATAATCCTAAACTTCAACTGCGAATACTGAAGCTCCTTGGTCACGTCTCTGGATAATGAGAACTCGTTGGAGAGAATAGGTAGTTCAGGGCCATGTGGAAGGTAAGAGAGCACGCGGTCGATCGCCAACCCGCTGGATAAACGCCATCACAAAGGCTACTGAGTTTACCATTGTCCAGTACCTACTCACGACGCCTCTAATCGACAAAAATGGAGGAACATCGCCAGGATCCGTCTGCTCATTTGCCTCTTTTCACATAAAAAAAGGAGAGCTACCTTCGGAAATTATACCGAACACCCCACCGTGTAACTCGTTAGCGCAACCACGACCACTCTGACAAGAGTGCCTGACTAAGAAGAAGAATCTTAATCTAATTATAGTAACATCGATTGCTTTTATTTTCTCGCTTCTACACCGACGCTTAAGAGTACTTTGGTTACAGATAGCTGAAATTGGTCTTAGTCGAGCTACAGAAGGAACGGACATACCAACCTTTGACTTGGTGAAAAACCGATACTTTGGTTTAGGGCCGTATGTCAAGTACTTGGCGCTCTGCAGTGGAAGAAAATTCAAAAAATTTGATGACCTGGTTGGCTACATAAAACCTGAGGTATGATAACCGTGAATTTATGACCATTTAATAAATAAAAATATTCTTGATCACCCAAGGGACAAAAGTGCGATCTATTTATGTATTGGGTTTGCTCAGATGCCAGTAAGTTTCCGATTGCGTTGAAGGTCTTAATATTCAACGATTGTAAAAAATTTCAGAGGTTAGACATAATCAAAGACAAATACAAGAACGTTGAAGACATCGACCTCATGGCTGGCCTGTGGACAGAATTACCAGCAGAGGGTAGTTTTCTTCCAAAGACCTTACAATGTATCATGGAGGAGCAATTTATCAGGTTCATAGTATCTGACAGGCATTGGTTTGAGAGGCCAAATAGACCACATGCATTTACTCTAAGTAAGTACCTAATAATTATTATGCTGCACATCATGAGGACATCCTTAATCCTCATGAATCCTGTCAAATTCAAATTGTGTTTTTATTTCTTTCGATTCTTCATTGTAAAAAATCTACAAACTATTTTTTTTCTGGTTTCAGAACAATTACTGGAAATACGAAAATCTACGATATCCCGCTTGTTATGTGATGTTGGAGATAAAGTGACTGAGATACAGCCTTATGGGTTCATTAGACCTGGACCTGGGTAAGACCTAAGACATAAAACTTGTGCCTACTAGCACTTTTGTTTCATCAGTAAACAAATTAAATCCGAGACAGAACCAGAGGGCTTAGTGTGAGTTTACATCAAAGGTCGTGACTAGCGAGCGCGTCAAAAAAAAATACTACATGTAAGATTTTAGTTTTTGAAAGTTTCCGCTAGGGGCGCTGTACAACCCGTCATACATTTAATGTCACTTTTTTACGCAGACTCATACCACGCCCCCAGATAGGATAAATCAAAAGTCTAATATCGTAATTTGAATTATTGCCAATTTTTATTCTATTACTTGGAGAAAATTCGTTTTGAGAACCTTTTCTGTTTAAACCTATTGGATAAATGAAAATGTTTTTTGTAATTCTTTTCAGGAATAAAATTTCCAGCTGCGATCGTATCCCCAAAATAGATTTCCGAGCGTGGAAGGATCGCTCTTGTGTCAGCTCTAACTATGCGGGGAACCCTTATGCACGGGATGAGCTATCAGAATGATATTTTGTGACCACCCCCAAATATAAAGATCGTGCTAGAAAATAAATACAATTGTATTTTTAACAGATTTTTATTTCCACTGTAACCGGTCAGTGTTTTATGGTTTACTATTGAATACTGAATTATGTGTTCAAGACAATATCTCAAGTCAGTACAGAGAACTATTCTGTGACCGATGTTTCGCCTTGATTTTTTTTTCTTTATTCATTTGTGTTTATTATGTTTACATGGTCGATTGTAATATCCAGTCTTAAATAATGCTACAGAATATTAATACTAAAAAAACTATTCTCAATTACTTGGTAATTGAGGCAATTAGACAAAGAGGCAAGCCTTTAATAATTCACTATTACATTAATTTCACAGCCAAATAAAAGATCGTAAAAAATATGAAATATCCTGTATCAATATTATTATCGATAAGTAGGTACTAAGTTACCTTTATTGCATCAAAAACGAGGTTATAAAAACGAATGGACCACAACCAAATTCCATTTTATGTTCTAATTTTGGAATGGAATAATGTTTTCCAATATTGTAATATTCTTCAGTGTACTGACGTGTGTTCTTGGTGCTGATAAAGTTGTGTACTATGACTCGTTCCACGGCACGCAAATAAGTGAACAGGAATACCTTCAACGTATTGCAAAAAATACTACCTAGTAAGTACTTAATGACGATCATGACGATCGGTCAAAAAAGAGATGCGGGTTATGGCACGAGAGAGCTGATCTCCCCTGCCCTTTTGTCCCTATGTCTGAGAGTCCTCCACCTGGACATGAGCTCCCCTGGCTTACCTGGAAGTCTTTAAATAGACTTCGGACGCAGGTTGGCCGTAGTAAGGACAATCTGATCAGGTGGGGATTCTTGGATGGCTTAAACATGGAGTGCAGGTGCGGTTTGGTTCCCCAGTCGATGAAGCACCTGATGTCGTGCCCTGAGTGCCCGAGCAACTGAACTTTTCAAGGAGGATTTGATGAGTGCTGCTGACAACGCCACTCTTGTGGCGGAGTTTTGGGCTGACACTGTGTAGGTTTGTTGTCGACACGAAAAGAAGAAGAAGTACTTAATGTTTAAATATGAAAATTAGGATATATAAATACTTAGAAATACTATAATGGGAGAATTTCTAACTCATTTGTGGATTGTTATTTTTTTACTATTTAATTATGTATAATACACAATACTTACCTTATGATTTGTGACTACAATAATGACTTACTTCACGAAACCACGAGAGATTGAAATAATCTATACCATCTATACTAATTTAAAAAGCTGAAGAGTTTGTTCGGTTGGTTGAACGCGATAATCTCAAGAGCTACTGGTCCAATTATTTTTGTGTTGGATAGCCCATTTATCGAGGAAGGCTTTAGGCTAAACATCGCCTTACAGCCAATAGCCTGTTCCATTGCCTTTTGGGTGACTCAAGGTCAGGCCTTCTTAAGAGGCCCATAGTGAACGACCACGTTTCAGATCTATATACCATCACTGGCAACACACACTGGTCAAAGACTTTTGTCTTGAGACACTGCGGTAGGTATTTCGGACGTGAGTATATCCTCCTACTAAGTGGACCGACGATCTGGTGAAGGTCGACGAAACGAAATAAACGAAATCGCGGGCACAGCTAGTAATTAATAATAGTGCTACTAAGAAGAACATTTTATTTCCTCTGTAAGCGTTTACGTGAACCATTTAAAATATTAATACAGTTTTGCAATAAGTAATTACCGACGCAATGGAGCGTGAGTATGAGTACCTAATTAAGTTTCCGATGTAAAATTACATCTATACTTTTAATTAGACATGATTAATAGCATTGTCTTATAAATTGAAGGCTTGAAAATCAGTAAGCCCGTCGATGTGTGAGTGACGTAATTTTCACACCAATGACTTCCTAATCCGATAAATGATTGACCCTGGCCTCTCGATTTTTATTTTCCTATAACAACTTCCTTGAGAAGAATAAATACGAAAAAAAGACAGTAGCTAGTATCATGGAAAAAGACAAAATTACCCTAGCAGTTGACAACAAAAGCACCTCCACCAAAATCTGTTTCCTATTTCCGCACCACAAGACAAGCACGCGACTGGCAGGTCAAATAAAATTAATAACGAAATATCTCAAGTAATTATAAAACATAAATATCGATTACATATTAAATTACTTCTAAATAAATAACTAAGGATATGTGTCTAATTAAGTGTGCTGTAAATGAATGGTAAACGTAAAAAATATAACTCGTCTGATTGAAGTAATGAAGAAAGCAAGCATTTGTTCCAGCTGGTGCACCAATGTGCTGCAGCCCTGTGACGACCCCCACGAATGGAGGCGCATAGATGCGTCTTGCAACAATATGCATCATCCCAACAGGGGGATGGGTCATACCCCCGTATTAAGACTGTTACACCCCGTATTTTCTGGGAACTGTACTGTTGGTAAGGATATTTTTTTAGTAATGTGTATGTACTACGCGTTATGCACATAATTTGAACTTTACTTTTCTAACATAATCAGTAAGAAAATAAACCTTATTAATTCTTGTATTGCCATGTTAGTTTAGTTTAGAAGCATTCTTTCTATTGCGTTATTTTCGATTTGAGAGGTGGAGACCTGGTGTCTTGTATTACAGGTTGTCTCAACCCATATCAAGCACCAGTCTTCACAATAAGTAATTTTGTTTAAAAAAATGCGTTGTATTGTTAGTACATGTAATTGGAAACTTACTTGTGAAGAAATTAATAAAGATTGATTTATTTATTTATTTATGTACCAAGTCAAGTTGAAAACATGGCATCTTAGTCGAAAGAAAGAAAGTGTTTAGTAGAGGTGATGTTTTGCAGCACAAGTTTGACTTTTCATGCTTATATTATGGACTTTCTTAAACATAGGTATATCATTTTTAAATTAAATTATAACAAGCGTAAAGCCTGAGCTGGTGGTTTATACTAGGATTTTACTTTATAATGTGGTTTTTACTTTAAAACGTGAGGAAAATGATTCAAACAAAGATCGTAATCTTGATCATTTATCCTTCCCCTCACTCACTCTCTCTAGCTTTTCTTCTTACATTGAAATTATACTAAAACTACACAATGGCGGATGACAGTTTTATTTTTTTCTCTCCATATTCATACATAGGTTACAGAGGCTATGACACTAGGTGGCGCTAGCTTTAATTCGTTAAACTTATAACACTCTCTCCTAACGAAATAAACTAAATACTATTCCTAGACATTGCTTTATCTGACCCAAATCTTTTATTTTAAATTTATTTATTTACTCACTTTTCATCTGATCATAAGAACTTTCACAGTTATAGAATACGAAAAAATCATCAACAAATAATGCAATAAATACTTTAACATCATTATTACACAACATAAAAAGACATGGCTCATGATCAGATTTTTTATAACCTAAGTTCAACAAGCATTCCTCTACTGTGATAAATACCAGGCTCATGCAGACTGTTTCAAGCCAGTCACTGCTCTATTTAGCTTTAACACTTTGTATGATATTGTACTTTATTCTAGGTTATGGACCCAGAACCGCGAAAGATGGCGAGCCGCTCCCTCTCGAACGAAGGCTGCGCACGAGTCTCCTCCCAGAAGCGCGCATCCCAGACCAAGTGTTCACGCAGATGTTCGCCCACTTTATGCTGTTCTTAGTTGCCGATCTCCTCTCCATACATGACACAAGTAAGTTCAGAGCAACAGTCTTAGAAGGAAATAAAGACGTACTTATTGGAGTCAAAGAAAATAATTCGTAATAACAAATTACTAATAATCTTTTTTCCAAAAAAAATGTGGCTGAACTATTGCTGTGAATATCTGTGGTAATCGAAATGACTTTAAAATTAAAATTGGGCCTTAACCTTTAACTTATCAGCTCGGAAAGGGATCAACACCGTATCGCCTTTCTGGAGCTGTCATCGCTATTCGCGCGCTGTCAACCGTGACGTGAGGCGTTTACGTTACGGAGAGGATAATTAATGTGCGTTGCACTGTATGGAGTTTCGTACAAATAATACTGACCGCCTCGAATTGATATGGTTACGATTCCTTTCTGGGTTGATAATTGTGCGATGACCTTAAAGGCATTGAGGCAAACGCAAAACTAGATGAGTTCTGCGGGCAGCGGTCAGGTCAAAGTGAACGCAGCTACGCAGCCCGTATCATGTACGAACAACATTATCGGTGAGGCAATCTGTCAGCGGTGCGATTTGCGTTCTTTGCTCTTGCCAGCACGCGCGCACGGTCAGATCGCATCTATACAAAATGTATACAGGGTGTTAGGTAAATGGGTATATGAGCCGACACTAGCCCATGTTAACATGGGCATATAAATGGTATGGTGAAGTCAGAAATTTGATATCATCATTTTATTTTATTTAATTTTCATACAAAATAAATTTTATAAAATCCGATTTGTATGAAAATTAAATAATTAAAATGAAGATATCAATTTTCTGACTTCACCATACCATCATATACCCATGTGTGTCGGCTCATATACCCATTTACCTAACACCCTGTAGAGACCGACAATGTTGTTCATACGGCTTACATAATGCGGGCTGCGTTCACTTTAATACTGCAAAAAACATGTTTAAAACTGTGATTATGTGCAAAGCAGCAGCAGCAATAAATCCAAGAACTTAACAAATTATTTCAGTAAACTACGTCCTATGGAAGCCGTACTGCTGCCAACCGCAAGGCCAGCTGGACCCAGAGTGCGCACCGGTCAAGATCCCGGCAGACGATCCTGTGCATCGGTTCAGTAATATACGCTGTATGGCCATGACGAAACCGCTGACATTTCAGAGTGAAAGGTGTCTGACAAACGATACGTACCCGCAGAGGGTATGATCTTTTGTTCATCCTACTTCCTACTAATATTATAAATGCGAAAGTTTGGATGTCTGGATGTCTGGATGTCTGGATGTCCGGATGTCCGGATGTCTGGATGTCTGGATGTCTGGATGTTTGTTACTCTTTCACGCAAAAACTACTGAACGTATTTTGATGAAACTTTACAGTATTATTGTTTATAATCCAGATTAACATATACTTAGGCTATAATTTATGACGATAAAATAAATTTCAATAAATAAATAAGACATGTCTAAAAAGCGCCATCTATCGTCATTGGTTAAAATCTACAGCGCTGGACAAACTACTGTTTTTAACGTTCGAAAATATTCATGCGAGGAAAGCCGTGAAACGCCATCTATCAACATGATATCTAACGGGGGTAAAACGAGGTCCACGCGTACGACATCGCGGGCGGCAGCTAGTAAATAATAATTCTAAAACTAAATTTAATAGTAGTGAGAGAGCTGGACTTGCTGCGTTTAGACACTTAGTTTCTATGGAGAGACATTAAGGCTGGGTTTCATCATTTTACTGTGATTTTACTTTGACTTTAACAAACGTCAAAAATCTGTCAAACTCCTGTACAAAATACACCGGTTATCGTTATAGTTACGGTAAAATTTAGGTGGTGCAACTCAGCCTAAAATGTGCAGTCGCTAACATGTATCGTACGTTATAATTTCTTTAAGGAAATAAGTGTAATTTCACCCTTACTAAAGTCAGATATCTATAAATTAATATCGTTACGAGTCCAATGACAGTTTAACTTTCCCTCGGGACAAACTTGATCTTTACTGGTTGGGTTTTTATTGGCAATCTGTAGATCCTAGCTACACAAGAGTTACAGCGGTGGGAACGAGAGGTGGGAATAGTACGGTAAAGTTGCAGCCTGTAACTTCATACTAAATTACAGTTACGTCAGTGAGGCTGAGTTGGACCACCTAATTTTGACCGTAACTTTAACGATAACCGATGTTTTTAATATGGAGTTTGACAGATTTTTGACGTTTGTCAAAGCTAAAGTAAGATGGTACAACCCAGCCTAAATGTAGTTAGTTTATTTACAGCTAATATCATCGACGCCTACGATAGATTTAAATGCACTGTACGGACATTCGCCTGAAAGATTACCCGTGGGAAGATTGTATAAGGATGGTCTACTAAAATATGACCTGATAAATGGAAAAATGTGGCCACCTGCTTTCAAAACAGCGGATAACTTTTGCTACTTGAATATGAAGCCGATTGAAACGCGTTGTCATGATACACGTAAGTTGATATTTTTTAAATATAAGTTAAGTAGATAAGATACAAAAAATTGTTCAGGAGGTCAGTACAACCATTTTTCAAGCAAGTAACTACATTAATTTTGTCAAAATCGCGTGCTAAAAGCATACAACGGTACCTCTTAACAGAATTAAGGGAAGTTGTACTTACTTTTTACAATAATAAATTGTTAAAATGACGCACTGATAAAAAACATACTTTATACCCTGAATAATAGTGCCAAGTAAGCGCTCTTGATTTAGTTTTGTTCGTTTTCGTACACTGCACTTACTCTTGCGCACCTATTGTAAGCATTTTAAAGAAATAATTTGATTATACCTACTGTGAATTTACAGCTGATCCTGTCATAAACAGTCTCGCTGGAATAAACTTCTTCGCAATTTGGTTCTGGCGTCTCCACAACCACATAGCTCTTGAACTGAGTAAACTCAACCCCTGCTGGGACGACGAGCGACTGTTCTACACCGCAAGAGACATCAATATTGCTATTAAGACGCAAATCGTACACTATGAAATGTTGGCACAAGTTATGGGTAAGTTCTTTTTAAAGCGTTTTCATATTTTCTTGTGAAAGAAAGTGACTAACGGGGGCTTAGTATCTTACGAGTACTTCTGTCCTGTAAAATAATATGATCTGGGTCTGTTAAATCAATGATTACTAAAATTGGCTTCATTTGGAAAGGATTAATACTTTATTTCTGTAATAAATATTACAGAGTAAGTATTACAGGGATAATAATATTGTCACTTTTAATAATTACAGGCTATGAAAATTTGGTACACGCAGGCGTTCTATCGCCCTCACCAGGATTCAGGGATTTGTATGATGAAGACATGTACCCTCAAATAACAGCGGAGTACGCTTATGTATTGCGATGGTTCCATGTTATTCAGGAAAATGATCAAAGGTAAATAAGAAAAGATATGGCAGATACTAGTAGCTACATGACGTAGTTGTAATAGGAGCAAGTTTGGAACAAAAAGTATTTTCGTCTGTACATTGAGCTGTGAAAAAATAAAACAATTCAAACATCAAAATCAGGACAATGTTTTTAGTAAGAAGAAGATTGATACTCTCATTGTACAGGGTTTAAGGGCCCTCGCCCACGGCGACTTTTTGACAGCATCGCTACTAACGCGCGTTAGTCGCATTTGCAACGCACTACAGAAGTGATGCCAATACGCTACTAATGCGCTACAGCAGCGCGACTGCATCGCTACAAAAAGTCGCCGTGAGCGAGGGCCCTAAGAACTATTTTCGCATTTCAGAATGTACGATCCTCATGGACACTACCTTCGGTCGGTTCCACTTTCAAACCTCACCCTCAGAACTGGATTCCTGTCAATCGACAACAACTTTGACTACATCACTCAAGGCTCGTTCCGTCAGGCTGGTGCCAATTTTGGTAGTAATGTTGACCCTGATGTGAGTATATTAACTAAGGGTGGGTATAGTCATTATTTCTCTTCGAAGACTGTGTCAAAATACATACCGGCCTTTGAAGCAGATAGCATTGAAACTGCAGAAACAAAAAAAAAATTTAGAAAGATAAAGTGGGCATCACAGAAAACAAGGAACTGGAAGCCAGCCTGTATCTCATTATTTGATAATACAGAAGCATAAGTATTTCATGAAGACCTCAAAGTAATTCTATGCATTACATTACAGCTGGCTGAAGTTGGCATCGGGCCCCTGACGCCGTTGACCGACCTGGTGACCCTGGATTTGTCAAAGAACCGGCACTTCGGCCTCGCACCATACGTAAACTACCTGGAGTACTGCAACGGGAGACCATACACTAGTTTTGAGGATCTGGTTGGGATCATAAAACCGGAGGTATAGTTCATTTTGATGACATAGGTAATTGTATAGTTTTCAATTGAATTATAATAGTAGGCTTCATTGCATCTGCAACTAGGATTAACGTTTCCACGCGTATGTAAAAATGGCTTTTATGTAGATATCTGATACCAATGAAAAAAAAATACGCTTGATGTAATGTACGGCTTTGAAAACCTGTTAATTACTGCGTCACATTATACTGTCCAAGATAAAATTTAGGCATAAATGTTTTAAAGTTCAAGGTGGTCTTAAAAATAATGCTGCGCTTTTTTTGATTTGGTTAGTGGTCACAATTTTCAGAATTCACAGTAGAAGAAGAAGTAGTTTATGTTTTTTTAAGGATGTAAATGCGATTAAAAGTCCCGTTAACCCCTCGTGATAAGCTAATAATGATGCTTGTGGCAGCCGAGATGCGTTCCTCGGATCACGATTCGGTCAGTCCGTCACCACCGACACCTTCACATTTAAGGTACTATTATTTTTTATAAACTAACATTGATTTTCTTTTAGATGCTGGAAATACTAAAGGATAGATACGAAAATGTAGAAGACATAGACCTTCTAGCTGCACTATGGGTGGAGCTACCAGCACACGGCAGCTTCTTGCCGAAGACGCTGCAATGCCTCATGATAGACCAGCACATTCGGTTCCCTATGATGGACAGGCATTGGTACGAGAGCCCGAATAGACCACACGCTTTTAATCTAGGTATGTATCAAGTTGTTTTTAACTTGCTAACTGGAGAAGGGTTCATTGTACAGTCACGGAATGAAAAGGTTCGTCAGTTTTCAAATTGATTCCTTCAACGAATCGCGAGCACATAATACCTTTTGAAACTATGTTACAGAATAGTCTCGAGTTAGAGAAAATAATCTTTAACTGTTCGTCAGTAAAGTTCAAAATTATTCAGATCAAAGTTGTTTGACGATTTAACTTGTCAAGAAGATTATTATGATTGATAAACTAAAACCTTCTTGTTGGTTTAACCTGCCATTATCTATTAAATAAAAAAAACTACATTTTGTAACATTGCCCTGATGGGATAGAAAAATAAACAAGCAAAACCTTATTCGTTAGCAAACGTCATATTTATTTAAATGTTAGCAGCACTGTTTCTTGCCCTGTTATGTTGGCAGGTTTGACTCTACCTAGTGCAAGCGAAAACCGACACTAAGGTGACGAACCTTTTCATTCTGCGACTGTACATGCTAGGAATATACCTGTCTTACTTGGGTAACTTTGAATTTTTAAAAACATTATTTAGTACTAATTATTTTACACGATTTTTCGCTTGCCAGGCATTCATTTCATATTTTTCAAAATTAATCTTCCTGAATATTACCCAAGTTTGACTGTATTATTTTAGTAGGTATACCTATTTCCATAATTGTGACTATTCTAAAATAACCTTATCGTTATCTTCTAGCAAATGTCTGATAATAAAATTAAGCTTATGTTCACTATTATAATAATTGCAAATAATGTAACGTTTTCAGAGCAATTACTGGAAATTAGGAAAGCAACAGTATCGCAGGTGCTGTGCACTGTCGGCGATAAGGTCACTGAAATACAACCCCACGGCTTCTTGAGAGATGGACCAGGGTAAGTTACATAAATTGGTGATCTATATCCATAATAACCTTATTACGTCCTGAAATGTAAGTGACAATTTGATGATTAATAAAATACATTATTATACTTAGTAGTTCTAACAAATTAACAGATTTTCAAAGTTTTTAAAGATTGGTTTGAACTTTTTATGGAAAAGATAAGAATGTTTTGCCTATTCAAATAACATGGGTTTTGCTACATTTCAGAAATGAAATAACCAGCTGTGAACACATCCAGAAAATCAACTGGGGAGCGTGGAAGGACCCAACTTGTGGCGGTTCACTAGAAGATCATGATACAATCAGTCTGTTTAGTTATAAATCAGTTTAAAACGACCTACTGATGTAAGATGTTACAAAAGTAAATCACTCAATCAATACACATTTTATAGATTAGAAAAAGGCACAAGAATGTTATGCTATTTCAAAGGCTAAACAATAAATAATAATATACTGATTTTTTCCCGTTACTTAGATTTCCAAAATAAATACCGTTTTCCTTTAAAGCGGCTCTTTAAATCTTGACCATTAATTTTAATTAACGTATAATTAAAAAAATAACTAATTTACTCGTAATGCCTGTTATTATTAGTGTCCGACCGAATATTCGGTTTCGGTTTCGTTTTCGGTTGAGTTTCGGTAAAAACACGAGTTTCGGTTTAGTTTCGTTTTCGGCGGCAAACTTGCCGAAAGTACGACCGAAACCGAATGTGCATTCGGGAGTTTCCGCGCTGTTATCGGCTATCGGTCATGTTCGGCGCGTTCAATGAGTGAATGAATCCGATCAGAGCCAATGTCGTGATTCGCTCGCTTGTTAGTTCTGTTTTGTTGTGGTGGCGAGTTTTCGAGTGATTTATTTTGAATTTGGTAAGTTTTATCTCGTTTTATGTCGTTATAACATAAGAGCGGGTAGTAAACATAAAAAAAAATATTCAATATGACTGATAAAAGTATAATCAAGTTTAATCTACCCTATAATTTTTTTTGGTTCGCAAATGCTATACGTAAACAAACATTAGTTAGGTAGTAGTAATGACTATAGTGCATTTCATGGTGATAATATTATGGATTCAGAGTTTCAAAGTTCATTTTAGTATAATTATCACCAAGGTATCCAAGTGGCAAGTACCTACAGTAGATACTAACTTACGTCTACCAAAGAAGAACGGCCATCTGTGACCCAGGCCCGACAGAAACGAGACATACCTCATTTTTTTTGTCATGTCTTAATTAGTTAAATTATATATTTTTTATATTCGAAATCTATGTATAACACCAAAATATTACCCTTTGTTTTTGTTCAGGCGTTATACAAAAACTAATACAAAATGCCTATTTATCACCAAAATTGGTAAATGTATGTACCTAAATGTCCATTACAGCTGCAATGGAATGTATCTAGGTGACCTGGAGATACAGCCGGATTATACAGGGTGGAAACGAGAAGTTACAAAATCCAAAAATTCAATGTTACCAGCTTCCATAATCTGTAACCTATTATTGGTACCATTTGAAAGAGCTCGTGAAGCACTTTCAGAATCAGTAACTAGTTTTTCGATATCCTGTATAGTTTGGAAATAATCGAGTGAGATCACTTATCGTTCCATATGTATAACCACCCTGTATAATCCGGCTGTATCTCCAGATCACCTAGATACATTCCATAGCAGCTGTAATAGACATTTAGGTACATACATTTACCAATTTTGGTGATAAATAGGCAATTTGTATTAGTTTTTGTATAACGCCTGAACAAAAACAAAGGGTAATATTTTGGTGTTATACATAGATTTCGAATATAAAAAATATATAATTTAACTAATTAAGGCATGACAAAAAAATGAGGTATGTCTCGTTTCTGTCGGGTCTGGGTTTTTTTTTGTATGGGGCGTGACCGTTCTTCTTTGTTTTGAGAAATTATTAAGGTAAAAGATCCGACCATGGGACGGGTTATGTAGATGTCCTGAATATTGCGAGTAATAAAAAAAAATCTAGACTATAAATTCTTCTTTTTCTTTTTTAATACATAATTTGATACCTTTTAGAGTAAAAAGGCGCTTTATAAGTTCAATTTTAATGCAATTTAAAGAGAAAACAAAAGTCAGCCGTTTGGTGTAGTGGTTCAGAACGGACTACTACGCCGAGAGGTCCCGGGTTCGATTCCCGGCCGGACAGAAATTGAAATGATGAATTTTAATTTTCTGTGACGGGTCTGGGTGTTTTCTATGTATAATATGTATGTATTTACAAAAAAAAGTATTTAAGTATGTTTATATCCGTTGTCTCGTATGTACCCATAGTACAAGCTTTGCTTAGTTTGGGGCTAGCGGCGCAGTGTAAAATGTCCAAGGATATTTATTTATTAAAGACTGACTGATTTATAATAACGTTTTCTTTATTTTTCCCTCAAATATGAGTCTTGTAAGGAAGTTTCGGTTTCGGTTTCGGCCGAAATAGACACCGTTGCCGAAATTCGTTTTCGGTTTCGGTTTCGGTCGTAAAACTAGTTTCGGTCGGACACTAGTTATTATAAAAAAAAATATCTTCAATTAAGTTAGGCTGCATTATGTTACTCAATATGCGTTTTTTATTAAGGCCAATTACTATGTAAAAATAATATTATGATACCTATGTACAAATTAATACCTACACGCGTAACATTTAGCATTATATTTTTTCTTAAGAATAAGAATATCAAAAATTTGTATTGCACAAATTACTAAGGTTGAGTTGCACCACCTAACTTTAACTTAAGTAATTAAATCTAAGCACTGTTTTTGGTGCATCTTGACAGCTCATAAAAAATTTAGTACTTAAGTCAATCGACCGTGGTATAAATACCATACCATGGGTAAACCCCATTTTTTCTTCGGTTCAAGCTCCAAACTCCAATACCAAATACTGGACTAAGCTCACTCGCGTTCTAACACCATCAAGCCTTAAGTAAATGACCAGTCGGTCGCTAATTTGACTGCAACAGTCGCCCCTATACATTTGTGCAATCAAACCCATCGCCTCTCATTACGGACTTGCTGTCAAAACCCGTCGCCTGTCAATTAGTCACCCTAGTTATTATTATTCACACACCCCAGCATCACAGTGAGATGTTATTCAGTAGGTGCGATGATTTTGTGGCACAATGTATTTGAAAGAAAGATTCGAGTTGATATCGTTAACTCACTATAGTAATCGTGTTTACGATGACAACTAGCCAATGTTTCGATGTTTTCTTGTGTGTTTGGGCGTAATGTTTCGATCCTTGTCGACCTGCATATTTAGCTGCATATCCACAAATTACTAATCGTTTATTTATAATCGTTAATTTAAGGTTTCTCATCAATAAACAAGCATAGTATTAAACATAGCTACAGAGGTAAATTAATCAAACTCTAGTAAAATGTTAAGTAAGTATCGACCTATGGTTGATATTATTATGATGTGAGACGTAATGCTGTAATCAATAGACCTTAGCACAAAATTAACTACAAAACACTATAAAAGGGTAACATGAAGTACACAGATTTACAAATTAAAATAGTCAAGAAATGTAAAAACTACTGTGAGCTTATTCTTTGTGAAACAAGGCTACTGAATTCTCGTCCACTGTGCGCACACGCACACCCCAGCATCTGTTTCTAATGGTGTCACGTGGCGCTGGTTTGCGCGGCTTTGGACACGGCTCCGATGAGTGTGAATTTATTTTTAGTAATTTTTCGTCGTGGGAGCTTTTTTCAAAAAATAATGATTGACACGGCAGACTATTGAAAATAAGTAGGCTGAGGAATTACCCCTAGTAATTCTTAGTTTTTTTTTCAAGGTCAGGTAGGTATCCAATTTATGACCTAGACCTATCTAGAGAGCACTGTGCTTTTATGCTAATTCTACTAAGCACTGACCAGACACATATTATTGTCCTGAATGAAGTAGCGGTAGGGTTACTAAAGTTATAAGTCCGGTGTACTGTATAAAATCAAATATATAAAAATTACATCATCATCATTTCAGCCATAGGACATCCAATGCTAAACATAGGCCTCCCCCAATGACTTACACATCGCACGGTTGGTAGCGGCCTGCATCCAGCGCCTTCCTGCTACCTTTATCAGGTCGTCGGTCCACCTTGTGGGTGGACGTCAAAATCAGCATAAATTGCAAAAAAATGTAAGAAAATCAAGATAATTTTGCTGTCGTCCGTACATTACTACATAATTGACATTGAATTTCTCTTGATAATTATTATGAAGAATGCAGATCCATATTTTGCTAAGAAGATTTCTGTAATGCTTTCCAATTATTCATAGACACTCTTCACACTTCAAGATAGAGTCTTAGAAGAATGTGGTTCCAACTTATCAGTGCTATTTACATTGTAGGCCTCTTTTCTAAAACTAGTCCATACACAGCGGTGTTACTTATCCCATTCGACTACATCGAGAGCTGCACCGCACTAGCGCCTTGCGGTTTGTTCCTGTCGCCCGCCAATTTGCGGGGGTACATCACTAATTGCCGACCACAAATTAGTCGCAGACTGCGGCGGGGCCAGGTGAACAAATGGGGGTATATGGTAAACAATAGGGATGGGTATACAGTTAGGACCTACATGGTGTTATGGAAATCCTTAGGGAGGCTTTTGTCCAGCTTGGACGTGCTTTGGCTGAAGCGTTATAAATGGTGTACAAAGGTGTACAGAGATTATACGCGAGATGTTTTAGGGATGGTGTTTAAAAGAACTTTAGACAAATCCATTTTCCATAATAATGTGACACAGAAAGAGAAAAAAAGCATTGTGAGATTATGCTCGAGTGGCGACCATTGCATTGGCCGGAAGACGTAGTGTGCGCAGGTGACTAGGTGGACCGACGATCTGGTGATGGTCGCGGAAGGTGCCTGAATGCGGTCGTTGTGGAGATCGTTGTGAGAAACCTTTGTCTAGCAGTGAACGTCATTTGGCTGAAACGAACGAACGAACGAGATTATGCTAGGTAGGTAGTTGTATATGAAACATTAATAAATCTGAGAATGGAACATGAGTCAACACTACAATCTTTTTAAATTTTAAGAAAAATTTAAATTCAATAGTAAAAAAAATGCCCTGAAAACCCAATAAATTCTACCAAAGATGATAAATGACTTTATTTTGATGAATTACACATTCCAATAGTATAAGTAGGTATAATGAATAATCTAATTTTCACTTGTGCAAACATTTCCTTTGTTTTAAAATAATGTGCCTAAAATATTTACATATTTTTCTTTTATTTATTAAACACAAAATATGCTACTTATTGTTAAGGTAACCAAATATATGGAATTAGTAGAGAATTTTTAAACATAGATAAGCATTGTGTTGCAAAATTCTTATTTCAACTACTTATATACGCTACGGTGTATAGCTTATATACCACAGGTATAGCTTAAATATGCCGTTGTCCTTTCTACTATAATATGAGAGATAGAAAAAACGTTAGGTATATTATGAGCTCAACACGGCATTTGATAAAACAAGAGTGTATGGTATGACGTACTTAAAAAAATATTGTTCTCAAAGAAAGTGACGTATCGTTTTAATGAGTACAAAGTTTCTGTAACCCAATTGCAATAAAAAAATCAATAAAAATTCAAGGCCAACCAAAACATTGTCCGCCTATATTAAATGATAATAAACAATTAAATTATTGTAATTGACTCGATAAGGAATAGATAATGATAATGAAATAGGTACATTAGAATTTCACTAAGCCTATTGTATCATCAAAATGTAGAATACATGTATTTTAAAAAGAAATAATGGAATTGATTTCCTATGATAGAGTGAGTTGAAAAGGAAAAAAATCTCTGCGTTCTCACTACTATATTTTTGGCTCATTAACTTTTTTCCTGATCAAATCTAACTTTAATAACACTAGACTATGTACTCGTATCAGACAAGAGATAATTTTCCATTGTTGGATCTTCTTGTCGTATCGACAACAAACCTACACAATGTCAGACCAAAACTCTGCTACAAGAGTGGCGTTTTGTGTGCTAGTGGCGATTGTTGTATGTATATTGTACAAACTATACTACCACTATGGGAAACTGCGTCAGCTAGCACTAAACTGAGTACTATGCTAAAATAGCTTAGCTATTGGTCTGTAGGGTCCATGTCCAAAGGGTACTACAAGATTCGAGACTATATTGATGACAAGGATGCGTGGTCAGTTCAGTCTACACATATTTGATGTTTGGTTATTCTTACCGTTTGATAATTCCTGGCAATTAGTGGTGAGTGACTGAGTTTGTTCCGGTTTCTTCTCAGCACTTGCCATTATTATGTTTGTCTCGAAGCACTGGTAGGGCCCAAAAGATAAGGAGATAAAGTGCCCCATAAGAGCTATCTTTTCTTTTTTTATTATTTACTATATTTTGACGTTCATAAGTGCCACTTTGTAGCCCGCATAACTCTCAATGAAAGCTCAACAAAAGCTCACCACCTTAAATTACCGGGTCCTGTCACTCACGGTTTATTTTCAATCGCATTTTAGTAGTATAACAGGCTGCACTTTTAAATTTCATTGCTGATTAGTTTGTAAATTGGATTCCACCAATTAATTTGAATCTGCTTACAAAAACTATCTGTTTCCAAGCTAAAGCTTGAAACACAAATCTACAAAAAATACGTAATTATGTCTTAATTTGTCATAGTTTAATCAATATACCTACATTTATTTATGTAGCAACAGTTTCTTTTGTAGATTTCCATGTACTTACTAATCATCTAAATACGAGTAATTAATTTACCTTCAATATTGATAAAAGTCAAGGACAGATTGATTTGAAGTCTATGATAGGTAGATAGTAGTAGTTTCAACACAAATTAATAAGAATTTTCCTACTTCAGTATGACAAACGTGACTGTCTAATTTTACAGCTGAACTACATTTTTCATGGTTTGGTGTGGAATTATTATGTATGGTAAAAATTACCATAGGACTACTGACACCTGAGTTATCATACACTACTAATACAGCATTTTAATTTGCATGTGACAGTAGCGAACAATATCACAACTTTTATGAGATTATTTGATTTTTATTTGTGAGGCTCAGTTTTCAAATTCGATCATAACTAACTTACTAATACTATAAATATTATGCGCTTAAAGTAACTAAATAATATTTTGTAGGTTTCTTGGCGTGATGATATGCTTCCTGCTGTGACTTTTAAATATGAAAATATAATTTTATTTTTTCTTTCTATCCGATAAAAACCACAAGGAATTTATGCATTTTACAGTACAATTCATTTCATGAATGAATTTACAACAAACAACATTAAAATCGCTAGATTTTATTATTCAATGTAAATTAATTTTCTGAAAAAAATTATCTACCATTATTTTAACTGTAATGTTTTACTTGATTAGCATTTGAATAGATAAATTGGACTGTATAAATGGTTCGGTAGGCGATATTTGTCACTAGTATTTGGTGTTCCTTGCCAAGATGTGGACTAGGAGCGCAGTCTTCTCTTTGGTGGTCGCGATTGCGGTTGCCGTGGATCACTATGACGCGTACTATCAGTACAATCTGACCACCGCTGAGTATGAGAGCTACGTGGCCAATGGAACTGCGGGGTAAGTGAATCTTTTGCATACATCAGCTGGTGACTAGAGAGTTTAGATCATGCTTGAAGGGGCATTTTTTCGTTTCAGCCAAATGATGTCCACTGCTGGATAAAGGCCTTCCCAAAAGTGAATCTTTTGCATGATACATCAGCTGGTGACTAGCAAGTTTGGATCATGCTTGAAGATTCGTTTGTTCGTTTCCAAAATTATGTCCACTGCTGGACAAAGGCCTCCCTCAAGGTTTTCCACAATGAACGGTCCTGCGCTGCCCGCATCCAGGTTCTTCCCGCGACTTTCCAGACGACCAGATCGTCGGTCCAGCTAGTGGGAGGCCTGCTTACGCTACGTCTTCCAGCCCGTGGTCGCCACTCGAGAACTTTTCTGCCCCGACGGCCATTATCTCTACGAGCTATGTGCCCCGCCCACTGCAACATGATTTTTAGCAATTCTGCGAGCTATGTCGGTCACATGCTTGAAAGTACACAGTGCTAATACGTTCTAGTAGACTAAACGCCTAGCTAGATTAAACGAAGCCCGTATTACGAAACGCTAAGAAGGCACGAAAAAATTCAAACAACGGGGCACTAACTCTTTGGCCTATCATTATTTTGAAACAATACATAAAATTCGATTCTTACTCTAGCATAGATTCTGACCTGCCGTTGCTCTGCTACTCTACGTATTTGAAATTAAACTAATGGGTGTCTGTGTTGTTTTCATCATGTTTATATGTCAGTTCGCAACATCTTTTCGTCCAAAATACCTCAATGCCTGAAGACTAGAGTGTATAACCAATGTGTGTTACCAGTGATAACTTATGGCTCGGAAACGTGGCCTCTCACTATAGGCCTTATACAGAAGCTCAAAGTTGCACAGCGTGCTATGGAGAGGGCTATGCTTGGTGTTTCTTTGCGAGATCGAATCAGAAATGAGGAGATCCGTAAACGAACCAAAGTCGCTGACATAGCCCGACGGATTAGCAAGCTGAAGTGGCAATGGACAGGGCACATAGTACGCAGAACTGACGGCCGATGGGGCAGAAAGGTTCTGGAATGGAGGCCGCCCGCGTACCGGAAAACGCAGCGTGGGACGTCCACCTACAAGGTGGACCGACGACATCGTAAAGGTAGCAGGGAAGCGCTGGACGCAGACCGCTGCCAATCGATCAACATGGAAAGCATTGGGGGAGGCCTATGTTCAGCAGTGGACGTCCTATGGCTGAAATGATGATGATGATGATGATATGTCAGTTCTAGGCTTAGTTAGTTTTTATTTCTAATCAGTCTGCTTAAAAATTTATGAATAACGTCGTTCATTTAAAAATATTTAGATTTCTACAGTCACGATTACGATTTGGGCCCCTCTACGCTTCCTATGACCTATTGTGATAAGTCACCAATATCATCTTAACCAATCTATCTAATTGCAGCAACTGCACCATCTCAGTTGAAACTTGCAACTCCACTGAAAGAAGACGCATCGACGGCACTTGCAACAACCTGAACTATCCTGCAGCTGGAGCCGCCAGGACACCATACTATAGGGTGCTACCCACCAGCTTCAACATTGTTGATGAGGATGGTAAGATATTCACTAGCTGCAACCACTTAATAAGTGACCACAGACCACCGACTTTTAGTTGGCCGATAGTTGAGTCGGTATGGAGAGTCATCAGTATGGAGATGTATGAAAGTGGGCACATTACATACACCGATTTGGTATCGGCCGGTTCTTCATACAAATTGAAATCGAGCCCAACTATAGGCCAACTAAAAGTCGGTGGGCTGCGCCTATGCTTAACATTACTAACGGAGATGTTGAGATGATGGCTACTTAGCATGGCTCAGAAGAAGTACGTCAAAGGTTCTAGATTTTATGGTTCATGAGATTCTTAATATGACTCAACCTTACTCAAATTATGTTCAATAATATAAAGGGTATTGTATTCAAATACTTTATTTGGTCATCTGCGCTACACTTCAAAATTCACGTAATTTTTTTCATTAAGCCTACTTATTTTACTTATTTTTTTTAACCTAAAACATTTTCATGACAAGATAAGAAGATCGAAGGTCTAGATAAAATCTCACTTTTTCTAGAAATAGAAAAAAGAGTCTCAATATTGAACCTGTAAAACTTCTTCAAACCAATAATTAAAGTAGTAGTCCGCCTGGCTGGCTACCACCATCTTACCTAAGTCTGTCGCAATAACAACAATGTTAACAGCATTGTTGTGTTCCGGCAGTTAGAGGTAAGATAGCCAGTTCCTCTGTGGTTGAGGATTCCGGGTGAAGCTCGCTTCCACCTTCGGCCTGATCATCACTTACCATCAGGTGAGATACAGGCCAAGAGCTTCCTGGTTGTTTATAAAAATGTGTTAAAGTAAAATTAACATGATAATGACACATTTATTCCAGATTACCGCCCAAGGTTGGCTAAGTCTGGCAACGAGCTACCCCTGGCCAGAAAAGTTCGTACCGTAATGGTCTCTGAGGGAAACGTCCCTGACGCAGATATAACCCATTTAGCTGCCCACATCCTGGTGTTCTCAGCAACTGACATCACCAACACAAGGGATACAAGTAAGTTACAATTCCTAAATAACAAGAGACAGCCCGAACATTAAAATCGACAACAAAGTCGTTCGTTTCAGCCAAATGGCGTCCACTGATGGACATAACGACAACAAATACTGAAAACTAATCAATCAAGCCACATCATATCGAAATTATTTCAGTTAAAATCACGGTTTTTTGCTAGAACATTTTATCCAATCATTTATCTAGTTAAATACGAGTAATATACCTATACCCAAAACATTCTCAAATATTTCATCCTTTTCCCAAACATCCTTGACTTCGTTTTCTTTTCAGCCAACTACGTTTCATGGAGGCCACACTGCTGTCAAGCAGCTGGAGCAAACGACACCGCCTGCGCCCCCAACTACGTGCCAGCTGATGACCCAGTGCACCGCTTCTCTGGCATTCGTTGCTTGAACATGACAAAGCCACTGACTTACCAGACCTCCGGGTGCTTGCCGAACACAACTGTGCCTTTGAGGGTAAATCTTTTTGTGGTCTTCTCAATAACTAAATCTAGATTGATTGAAATAACTTTTTAGCCCGCCTCTTACATAGGTATTTATCTACATCACTTAGATGGTTGACAGTCCACAACAGTACGTTTCTCTAGAAACTTCCTGCCCCGTACAACCAAAGTGTTGAATGGACTGTCGTCTGCGGTGTTTCCGGACGGATACGCAAGCTTTCAAGAGGAGAGCGTATCTTTACCTTAAAGGCCGGCAACGCACCTGTAACGCCCCTGGGTCTGCGGGTGTCTATGGGCGATGGTAATCACTTACCATCAGGTGATCCGTCTGCTCGTTTGCCTCCTGTCACATAAAAAAAACATTATCAGAAGCAAATAAGTGATTTTACCTAAACTCCCTGCGCTGATAAGGACGGCATAAGCCAGCCCATGGACACAAATCTTACTTCTTATAAATCGAGAAAATAATATTTCCTACAAACTCATTTACGTTCGTATGTGTTTATCCATTGAATACTTTCAGATAGTCGATGCCACACCCACCTTTGACTTGTCGCCAGTATACGGCAGCGTAGTCGAGCCCGCCAGGAGGGCAAACACGAGTGGCTTGCTTGTTACTGAGACCATCAACAACAGAACCTACCCGCCTACATGTATGTATTAAGACATGGGACCAACGATTAAATTCAAATTATTTCTTTTGATCTTGGAAAATTTTCAAATCTTCTATATCTTGTTTTGGTTTTAAAATGTTTGTCATAGTCCAGGGTAGGTCTAGAAATACGCTCGCGATAGTTTTTCTGGTACAGACAAAATTCCACGCGGGCGAAGCCACGGGCGGAAAGCTAGTTGTTAATGTAGTCTTTCATGAAACTTTGAATCAAGTTAAGAGTTTCATAGACTCTAATATAACCTGTATTCTCTTACACCACTTAATTGACTTCAACTTTGTCTCAGCTGGAATAAACCTACTCCTCGGTATCAACTTCTTCGGCATCATTTTCTACTGGCGATACCACAACCACATCGCCACCAAGCTCGCTGAAGTCAACCCTTGCTGGACTGATGACCAACTCTTCTACGCGGCCCGGGAAATCAACATCGCTCTTGCACAGCAACACTATTACTATGAGCTGATGCCCATCCTCATGGGTAAGATTATCATTTATTTCCAAGAAGTAGTCATTAATGATGAATTCTTTTGTTGGTGATGTATTTGATGCCTCCGTGATGCATTTGTGAACACTAAGTTGTCTTGTTTTTATCTTTTTTTATTATCTTTTTAGTTAATTTTTTTTTATTCTCTGGATAATCTCAATCGTGAAATTAGAAAATAAAAATACTTCAGTTCGTCTGTCCAGTTTATCTTACCTGATCTTAACTATTACAGGCTCAGACAATCTTGTCGCAGACAATGTCGTTAGTAAGGACTTTGGATTCAGGGATTTGTATGATGATAGTCTACTGCCCCAAATATCCCTGGAGTACCCTGCTGTATTGAGATGGTTGCATTTGATTCAAGACGGTTACTTAAAGTGAGTTCCAAAATCACAATCCAACCAAAGTTTATTAGATAGTGCAGCTTGTTTGACATGTTACTACAAAAAATCTTATTGATTTTCAGAATGTACGATTCTGAAGGACACTATCTCAGACAATATCCGATTGTCAATTTGACTGCTCGCATTGCGTACATAAAGGAAGACGATAACATGGATGGTATCACCCAAGGTTGCTTCAGACAAGGAACTGGTAATACCAAGGACACTATTGCTGACAATGATGTGAGTAATAATTTAGTCGTTGATTCAGACTTCTAAAATGAACCTTGCATGTTAAAAAAAACATTTCCAATTTCTTCTTACTTTTAGATCGTGCAAAATGGTCTGGGTGCTCTCCAAAAGGCCAATGACATTATGACCAACGACTTGGCCAAACACAGATACTTCGGGTTCCAACCTTACATCAATTACTTGGCGTACTGCAACAATGACACCAATATCACTTCTTTTAACGACTTGTTGACGTTCATGAGGCCTGAGGTAAGTAATTTGATGACTGTGATCTCGAAGTATAGTTTTGGTGATGATTAATCTCAGGATCATCGTGACCCTTGACAATGTTATGTATCTCTCTCTACAAAACATCTACAAGGATTCTAAAGATATCGTACCTCAGTTTTGATGATAATGGAAACAACTGTCGCCCGTATTCACAAATATTACTATGAGGTCTCACAGTGTTCGTGGAAGCACAGGGGGACACACGAACCAATTACAGAGCTCTATTCATCGCTGTGCGTTCGATTGGCTGCTTCACTTAAGCAAGCATCGTTTGTAAAACCTTGTACCTATTACCTGAGCCTATGCAATTCCTTGAAGCATACATTTTTTAATATTACTTTATTTTCACAGAGAATCCAGCAGCTCAAAGATGCTTATGAAGACGTAGAAGACATAGATTTACTCGCTGGTCTATGGGCTGAAACGCTCACTGATGGGACCTACGTTCCTCCCACATTCTACTGTCTGATCAAAGATCAGATGCTCAGGTCTATTCAATCGGATAGGCATTGGTACGAGAGGGAAACCAGACCAGACGCTTTTACAGAAGGTAAATACTAAATGCGTGTGTGATTACAATTCTAAGATCTTCAAATATTTTAATAGACTGAATTGTCTATTTTTGCTGTGAAGTCGAACTTTTTTTGTGATTTCTATAGGTATAAAAGAAACTCGCGTACCAAACTGCATTACCAGCTAGAGTTGGAGGAATTTTTTTATTAAGTGTATTACATCAAGATTTATTATTCACAGAGCAAATGTACGAGATCAGGTACGGAACCGTGGCTCGCATGATGTGCGACATTGGTGACTCTGTCGCGAGCATCCAACCACAAGCTTTCAAGATGATTGGAGATGAGTAAGTTCTTGTACCTACTATTATTAATGAGAAAGAAATCAAGAAAGAAATAATGGAGAGAGAAATGCAGGAAGGCGCTGCATGCAGGCCGCTACCAGAGTAAATGCAAATGAGTAGGTCGTCTTCATAGAAACGCCCGAGCGCGGTTTGTATGTGAGCGCGGCACAGTGTTTTTTTTGACCCGAAAAAGTGACATTCTGTTTTTATCACTAATATCCAAAGTTTAACTTATTATTAATGTTATACTAAAACACCCAGGTGACAAATAGCTATAGATTATTTTTAAAAAAATATTTAAGAAAATTTATTTTGTACTGGGTCAAACTACAATTTTATTATTATTTAAAGAAACGTACACACTAAGCTTCTCTTTGCATTGCAGGTAGGTAGGTTGGTGTATGGCGAATATTATTGCACCTATAATTATTTAAAAGTAGTTATAGGAACGACAGTATGATTATTTTTTAAATTTAAGAAATTATTATTTTTCTCTTTTTCTACGCCGAAGTAGAATCTCTGCTTAGGTCAGATACATTTCTTAAAATAAGCTCTATCACCTATAATTTTTCTATATTCTAACTCGGCCGCAATTTCGAGAAAAAGTATTTTTTCCAAAATGTTAGGATTGTCACAAAAAATGACCTTACGTAGTTCCACTTTCTTTAGGGTTCCGTGGCCAAAGGATGCTAACGGGACATAATTAATATTATGCAAATATAAATACCACTCCTGATGATCAAGAGTCTTCATATATCTTAAAAGATGATGAAGAAACAGTATTCTTGAGCACTGATAGTAATTTAACTGATAACCTACCTAAGACAAATTAAACACATAATTAGGACCGATTAGCATCCTTTGGCCACGGAACCCTAAAGAAAGTGGAACTACGTAAGGTCATTTTTTGTGACAATCCTAACATTTTGGAAAAAATACTTTTTCTCGAAATTGCGGCCGAGTTAGAATATAGAAAAATTATAGGTGATAGAGCTTATTTTAAGAAATGTATCTGACCTAAGCAGAGATTCTACTTCGGCGTAGAAAAAGAGAAAAATAATAATTTCTTAAATTTAAAAAATAATCATACTGTCGTTCCTATAACTACTTTTAAATAATTATAGGTGCAATAATATTCGCCATACACCAACCTACCTACCAGCAATGCAAAGAGAAGCTTAGTGTGTACGTTTTTTTAAATAATAATAAAATTGTAGTTTGACCCAGTACAAAAGAAATTTTCTAAAATATTTTTAAAAAAATAATCTATAGCTATTTGTCACCTGGGTGTTTTAGTCTAACATTAATAATAAGTTAAACTTTGGATATTAGTGATAAAAACAGAATGTCACTTTTTCGGGTCAAAAAAAACACTGTGCGCGGCAATACGTATGCGGCGCGCACGCACACACTGACAAAATTTAGCGTTGATTAGCGGTGAGTTGCCCCGAATTTTGTCAGTGTGTGCATTTGTATTAACTCTGCCGCTACCAACCGGTCTAGCTGAAATAATGATGATGAATTGCAGTGGAAATTACGCACATTTTTTCAAGATTAACCCCCTAACTACAAGGATAACACGGGATCTAAATTTTAAAGCGAGTGAAGCTGCGGAAAATCAAGTATAGGTTATTACCTAATTAATAAATTAACATACATTACCTATTTGTTACAGCAACGTAGAAGTGAGCTGCGATGAAATAAACGATATAGATTACTACGCATGGCAAGACGCCACGTGTGACGATGCACCTACCAGGCCAGACATTACCGAAAGGGTACCACCGGCATTCTACACTTCATAAAGAAAATATTTAGGAACGTGATTGTAGCAATGAAGCTTATGAACAGCCAATAAAGAGAATTAAGGATTAAATCTGTTTAATTTTATAAAATCTGTAATGTATGTTGTAATTAATGTATGTAGCATTTTCATATTATGTAGTATGAAACTACCTAGACTCAAGATACAAGCTTGTTGGTCAAAATATTGAAACTCAACCTATCACTGACTTGAGTCTATGCTTGGGTTTTAATCGGATTGTTAGCATTTGTCAATTAGAAAAATATCAATCTATACAAGCTTCAATAAAAATTCGTAATTTTGTTATGAGATTATTGTAGATACGGAATATTGAAATTGAAAACTACAATATGCCAAGGACTGACCAAACTAGGACACCAAATTATCGTTTATTTATTGCCGTGCATAAAATTTGTAATTACCAAAAATCATTTGGCAATTATTGTCAAAACCTAAACTATTATAAACGTTGGTGATTATTCATGAAACTAATAACTCAATAGGTACTTACCTACCTACTTAATAAATCTGATTTTAGGGTTATTCGTCGAAATTCGACGAAACTGATACTGTATTTCAGATTTTTCTTATTTTTTTCTGCTATTTTCTGCTACCCATAACAAGACAAGGGTCAGGACGAATTAATTTACCCCAATATCGGGGCCTCTCTATTCACGTGTGAAATTGAACGGGAAATCATTAAGGGAGATATCTTATTTTGGGGTATTTTTAAAATCGAATCTTTCGGGTAGGAAACTAACAAGGGTATCGTCTTGGCAATCTCGTAAATAATTGAGCCACTTAAAATTTAATGAACCGATTTTAATGGAACATAATAAATTCAGTTACATTAATATTTATCTTCCTGAGTATCGAAATAGAACTTGATAAGTATTTTATGAAACATTTCCTTGAATATCGATGTAAGAACTTTGAACAAAGATATTAATTTCAGGTTTCATAAAACTCATATTATTATTAACCCTACCACTGCTTCGGGACAATAAGCCAGTGATGAGAAGCTTCATTTTACACTTAGTCTTCTAAAAATTAAATTAAAAGTAAGTATAAACGGATTGTATTTAATTAACTTTAGCTTATTTTAGAATCAATATTCATCAAGCTAATCACTGAGCTATAAGTAGGTAATCAAAATCAAAAAAATAAAGTAAATATAGTAAAATATATAAAGTAGGTAGTAAGTAAGTATTCTGACATCAGTATCGTTCTTGTTGCAAGATAGTACAAACACATAAATCATCATCATCATCATCTCAGCCATAGGACGTCCACTGCTGAACATAGGCGTCAAGCGCTTTCCTGCTACCTTTAAACACATAAATATCGCCACAATATTCGGTTTGCATTTGTTCATTTTCATCAACAGAATACCATTCATGAAACTGACGCTGGATCGTCTTTGAAATATTCTTCTGAATACGCAAAGCAATAAAACACTCAATACTGAAAACGGATATTACAATACTGCAATATTAAACAAAAGTCCTACATTTATGATCTACGAGTAGGTATTCAAGTATTTCTTTCTGTCTCGTTTACATTGCCACAATAATAAAAGAATATTCCAAAGCAATATGATGCAAATGGTTTTATCGTGCGTCAGTCTTTGTGAAGTATGAAATATCTTTGTGGCATTTTCATATCGCTGCAATACTTTGAGGTATTACCTATACGCCGAAAAAAGATTTGTTCAAATCGGTTCATTATTGGCCGAGTTATCGCGTAACAAACATAGAAAAAAAACACATACGGGTCGAATTGAGAACCTCCTCCTTTTTTTAAGTCGGTTGAAAATAGTTGACGGCGATAATTTGTAGTAAGTATGTATTGAAATTGGTATCAATATAACAGAATGCTGAATGGAGACCGCTATCAACCGGCCAATTTAAAAATCATTGGGGGAGATCTATATCTTCAGCAGTGGATGTCCTGTGGCTGAAATGATGATGATGGAAGAAAAAAATGTTCGTTAAATAACTACGTCTTTTTACGTCAGCTCAGCAATCCGCATTATGTCTGCCAAACCAATTTAAACCTAAACATTATTAGCTTTAAAACTGCTTTTCTCACCCAGACCGGTCGCCAGCCCAGGAACCGTGATCGCTTGAGCAGCGGGCCCTCAAACCGGGCTGCTGTGCGCTGCAACCTTTGCACTGGTCTCACGTTGAGAACTTCGCGCACGTCGTTGTCTTTGGATATCTCTATGGCTAACTGGCCTGTAGACAAAATTGAATATTATCACTACAGTATTAAGGTAGCTTCTTGTACTTTTAGGACTCCAGAATCGGACTATTCCCACCTTTTTTTCTGCCAGGCAGGATTAGCAATATGGCCTCTGCTGAAACTCAAACTCTCGGGGATACCTTACTTGTATATCTTCTAAGAATGAGATACATGCCATTTGTCTCCCACTTTACAAGGGTCCCCTCCCAGTTAATATTACAATTCAAACCCCTATATTTTACTGATCTTAATTTCCAGCATTTCAGTAAATTGTTGTCTTTTATAAGACACGTAGCCAAAATTCAGAAGAATTTGAGTCCGTTTCTCTCACCACAGTTGTTCCTGAGCGTAGTATCGACGCCATTTTGCAGCAGGAGTACAGCCAGCCTTGTGTGGCCCCTGTACGCGGCGCAGTGCAGGCACGAGTTGCCTTGCGCGTCCACGCAGTTGATGTTTGGCGGGTTGGGGCTGCTTAGCTGAGGGAAAACAAATTATACATTTTGTGACTCATTTTCATTGTTCGTTCCAGCTCGCATTCGAAGTTCTGTAATTAAGGGCTAGGGCTCGAATTAAAAAAAAAAACTCATAAAATTCATTTATTTTTGCAAATAGGCTTTTAAAAAGCACTTTTACACGTCCCAATATTAACCCTACCACTGCTTCGGGACAATATATGGTCCAGTGCTGAGAAGCAGCGCAAGAAACTCAGTCACTATTGTCAGCCTCAATAGTGTAATTTGGGGAACCATTTTCACTAGTGGTTTGGTAATGATGACTGCAGAGGCGAGGTAACTTTTTTTTATCATGCGCGGCCCTAAATAAGATAAGTGCGAGCTTACTTTGGCAGTTACTGGGACTCTTGAAGATTGTTTTTGAGTAGAAGTCCCAGCAAGTAGTTCAAGGATAGGAAACTGTGTCTATTAATCACAATCTACTATATCAACCGGCCCTCAACTCACCAGTTCCTGCCCCGCTGTCTCCTTGGCTGCTATCAGCAGCCGTTGCTCTCTCAAGCCTCTCAACCCGCTGCGGTGCGTCGATAAGCCGCCTGAGGTCACGTGATCGGCACATGTCACCCGCAGTCCGACCCTCAACTCACTGATTCCTGTATCTCCTCAATCCGCCCCTCCTTGGCTGCTGTCAACAGCCGATGCTCTTTCGAGCTTCTACGCGCACACCGTGTCGTATCAACCAAGCGACGAACGTCATATGATCTAAAATGCCCCCCTTAGTCCGACCCCTGACTCACCGATTCCCGTATCTCCTCAATCCGCCCCTCTTTGGCCGCTGTCAACAGCCGCTGCTCTCTGTCAAGCCATCTGACGTCACGTGACCTGCACATGTAGCCGCAATCCGACATTCGACTCACCAATTCCTGTATCTCCTCAATCTTTCCTTCCTTGGCCGCTGTCAACAGCCGCTGCTCTCTGTCAAACCATCTGACGTCACGTGAACTGCACATGTAGCCACGGTCCAACCCTCGACTCACCAATTCCTGTATCTCTTCAATCTTTCCTTCCTTGGCCGCTGTCAACAGCCGCTGCTCTCTCTCAAGCCTCTCTGTCCGCTGTGCCGCGTCAGCCAGCCGCCTGACGTCACGTGATCAGCACATGTCACCCGCAGTCCGACCCTCGACTCACCAATTCCTGTATCTCCTCAATCTGCCCCTCCTTGACCGCTGTCAACAGTCGCTGCTCTCTCGAGCTTCTACGCGCACCGTGTCGCATGAACCAAGCGACGAACGTCATGTGATCTAAAATGTCCCCTTTAGTCCGACCCCTGACTCACCAATTCCTGTATCTCCTCAATCCGCCCCTCTTTGGCCGCTGTCAACAGCCGCTGCTCTCTGTCAAGCCATCTGACGTCACGTGACCTGCACAAGTAGCAGCAATCCGCCCCTCTAAGTAGAGGGGCGGATTGCGGCTACTACTACTACTAGGTGAGTTGGTAACTACCAACTCTTGTATCTCCTCAATCTTTCCTTCCTTGGCTGCTGTCAACAACCGCTGCTCGCCTCTCTGCACGCTGCGCCGCGTCGATCAGCCGCCTGACGTCACGTGATTTGCACATGTCACCTTTAATCCAGCCCTCAACTCACCAACTCTTGTATCTCCTCAATCTTTCCTTCCTTGGCCGCTGTCAACAGCCGATGCACTCTCGAGCTTCTACGCGCACACCGTGTCGCATCAACCAAGCGACGAACGTCATATGATTTAAAATGCCCCCCTTAGTCCGACCCCTGACTCACCGATTCCCGTATCTCCTCAATCCGCCCCTCTTTGGCCGCTGTCAACAGCCGCTGCTCTCTGTCAAGCCATCTGACGTCACGTGACCTGCACATGTAGCCGCAATCCGACATTCGACTCACCAATTCCTGTATCTCCTCAATCTTTCCTTCCTTGGCCGCTGTCAACAGTCGCTGCTCTCTCTCAAGCCTCTCTGCCCGCTGCGCTGCATCGACCAGCCGCCTGACGTCACGTGATCGGCACATGTCACCCGCAGTCCGGCCCTCGCCGTTCATGATGTGGACGTCCGCTTTGTATTTTAGGAGGAGGATCACTAGCTCCTACAAAAATTGGTATGATACAACGGACTGACTAGCAAATACATGTGCAATGAAAATACTGTGCTTAGATAAGTATTTTAAAAAACATGCATCAATTGCATTGCGTCTTTTGCAGTATATACTGGAAAAGCAGCAGTGTTTAAAAAAGATATTTGGATTGGAAACTGTTTATGTCTATTGGAAATAACTGCTTATTCATTAATGAAAAGATGTACTGGCTGACGTGTATGGTTATGTATAGGAGCATAATATTATTATCTTCAAAATCTGTTTACTATCAACCCAATACTACCTGCCTGACAAAATACATAGACTAGCCAGGGAATAAAAAGGATCAAAACTAAATGAAATTCTTATTTACTGCTACATTAGACCTACCTCATTTCCAGTGAAGCATGCTTTATGCAACGGTGTGTCTCCTGTGTCATTGATTGCATCTACGTTTGCACCGGCCTCCAGGAGAGCCCTCACCACTTCCACGTGGCCGAAATACGATGCCAAGTGTAGCGGAGACCATCCTAAGTTGCTTTTGTTTTTGCCTGGTGAAGTAAAGTTATTTAGTGTAAAAAATAAATTGCATTATGTGCACAAAGATAAATGAACGAGCTAATTTAAAAACATAATCACAAGCATTCTTATTGAAGCTAATATTATTTAGCAATTTACATACTATGGGTTTTTATTATAGGTTACTTTGTGTTTACACAGTTGCGAGCCAAGTAAAATTATATAGCAAACGTTTTCTTAATGGTCTAGAATTCCAGATAACATACAAAAACATGTATATAAATATCAATGTGTATTATGACTCATGCCTGTGAGCTTAGCAATAATACATCTGTACCTACGTATACTTATTTATAGAATAGCTTATAAATATGTAATGTAATTAATTATTAAATGCACATTTTCTATGAAGCTGGCTTTCAGAAAAGATTCCATAACAAATAGAAATAGGTACCTTTGCAATTTATGTCCATTGTCAACTTCCCTTCACGATTGGCCTCCAGCAGAGCCTTGACGATAGACAGCTCTCCATGCCTGGCTGAGTAGAGGAGAGACTCCTGGATCTCCACAGTAGCAGCCTCCGAATGGATATCCATGGTTGATGGTAAAATATACTCTAGCGCGAACACTAAGCTTGATCAGACCATTGATACACAAGATATCGGGTGTCACCTGTCGTAAATAATTTGTCACACACTCCAGTGAACCGTGAAATTCTAAAATATTCCAATAATTTTCTGAATGAATAATATTCATCTGTGATTTAGCCGCAGCCCCAAGTCACCTTTTTGACAACTGCCAAAGATATGATAATAGTTAGGCTGAACTAAAACTTAGCATGAAAATGACGTGAAAATCTAGCTTGATCTCTGGACCTCCTCGTTTATCTTGTGCTTAAAACACAAGAGCTTAAGCCAACATGCTTGATTTCCCCTGCCAACCAGAATGAAACTCTGTTAAGACGTTGGATAAGTGTTTTTTGTTTTTAAATTTTTTTTTTACAGAGCTGTGCTGTATCCAGTAATTTATTGTATCTCGGTAAACATTTTCTTATTACTTTTCAAAATGGACCTTATATCATACTTTCACAAGGGCTATTTCGTTTTATCAATGTCACTTTTAGCTGTCAAAAACATCTGTTTTTGACCGTTTCTCTTTTTGTCATTCATTTCAGTTTGTTTACTTGCCTTGCTTGTATTTTATTCAAAATACCTATTGATCTTATAATAATATGGAAGAAGGTGATATTCAGAAATGTTGTCGAATATGTCTAGACATGGAAAGTGATCATGTATCAATTCTTGGAGACCCGACGATCCATTTGCACCTGAAATCTTGCCTCGACCTACGAGTGGTTCCCAATGACCAGCTTCCTACTGCTATTTGTGGGTCCTGTGTGAGTCAATTGAAAGATTTTTACAACTTCCAACTCAACGCCCGCTGCTCCCAGGACTGGCTCGAATCCGCAGTTCAGGAAAAGGCAAAAAAATCCACAGAAACAAAAACGCCCATTCAGCCATTACCTGACTCTGAATACAACTCCGACTCTCTTTTAGAGTTCTTAAATAACACTGCAAATATAGAAGAATACCTCAACAACTTGGGCAAGGAAGATATTCCTTCCATAGTCAATTTATTAGATAGGAATGAAAATTCAATGGCTGCTGCCAAAGTTAAAGTGCCGACACCAAAGAAAAAAGACACAGTGGCCATCATAAAGAAAGCAGATTTAAAAATGGAGATAGATGTCTTGGATTCGGATATTGATGTGGTAAAAGAGTTACTAATGAAAAAGACTGAGCCTAAAGTAAAATGTACAAACATGAATCAGAACTCAAAAGTGCAAATCAGAATGTTAGATAGGAATAATTTGGTTTGCTTTGCATGTGAAGTAAAGTTTGATAGTGTTCATAAACTGACTCAACATTTGAGCACCTGCGATGCTGCGTCTCGCATGTGTGTTCACTGTAACCAGCTCTTTGATTCAAAGCAGAAGATGCAACAACACTATGCGACGCATAGTAGTGCATTTCCCTTGACATGCAACTGTGGGAAGCAGTTTCCAAGCAAGGAGAAACTTAACCAGCACCATAAGACATGCCATGTTGATTATGGTGCTGTCATGGGGTGCAGCTATAGGTGTAAGGAGTGTGGAGAAATATTTAGAGAAAGGTTTAAATACTTTTTATGATTTTTTTTTAATTTATAACTTACGTCTCAGAGAGACAGCATGCATTAATTGCTCATCACATATATAAACTTTATTGCCTGGTTTTAAGGTTCAAAAACTTGGATTGTCTATGATCAAAAATAAACAAACTACCCTCTCAAGAAATGCAACAAACACTCATAAAGGCCTTCCAGTAAGAGGGCCTTATGTGTAAAAATATTGTTTTCTTTTGGTGCAAACAACGTAATCACAGTATTATTTTAGGTACCAGCTCTACCACCATGCCAAGGAGCATGTCTTGAAAGCAGAGGAGAGAATCTGTGATATTTGTGGACATACATTTATTGGCAGTGAAGCTTTGGCTAAACACAGAAAGGAAGAACATAAAACATCAGACAACTTGCTGTATAGGTATGTAAAAGGACTTTTCTATAGTTTCAGCTGGTCAGCTAGGCAGCTAAAAATTAAGGATTTTTTGGATTGGAAGATGTAATGGTCACAGAAAAGTTACATGCACATAGGCTATGTTAAATGCCCACTTCTCATACGTCGCATTTCTTAATTTGTGTACAAAGTTATAATCTGAAACCTGTAAACATATCTGAATTTGCTACTTCTGAAATCAGTTTCGAAGTCATACAATACTCCATTATATTATTTCAGGTGCAAGGTTTGCAGTTTCACATCAGCAGACCACAAAGAAACATACCTTCATGTAAAGACCCACACATCAAAACAAGGCATACCCAGAAGGCATTTGTGTGAATCATGCGGCAAAAGTTTTGCCACTCCGTCTTCATTGTTACGTCACTCACTACAGCATGAGAAGCTGAAAGAGCACACATGTAATGTCTGTTGCAAACGATTCGCTGATGAAAAGGCCAGAGATGAACATGCTATGGAACACAACAAATATATTATATGTGAACGATGTGGCCAGACGGTGAATGATGTTACCATGCCTACTCATAAATGTATATAAATGAAACTTGTGATGCTGAAGACTCCTGAAATATATCTGTAAGTTCAATATTTTGTTTTTTTTTAATCATCAATGATTCCGGTTACCGTGTATTTGAGCTTGCCAGTTGGCGCTACTAGTGAGTAAGGTCCTGTTACTCGGTAGCGCCTCAAAAATTGGCGCCAACTGATCAGAAGCGTTCAGGCAGGAGGCACTATCAGGTAGGCGCTACTGTAATGTTGCATCCACACATGCCAGACGGCACCGGCCAGTGGCCAACCCGGCGACGTGCCGGCGGCCAGGATGGCACACTGGCAATGCATTTTGTAATCCCGCGGCAAATCTCGGCGGCATAAGCCGGCGGCATGTGTGGATGCGCCATAAGTGACACCGCGCACACCGTCATAATGTTCTACTGGCTGCCGCAGCCAGGCTGCCTAGTGCGGCGGCGGGAGGCCTAAGGTTATTCGACTGTGGCGCCAACTGGTGAGTGCAAAATGGCATCACTTATCATAACATTGTCTACTAAGAGAAAATTAAAAGCAAAGTAATGTTAAACATAGTTTACTAAAACAATTCACACCTAAAGTTTTAAACTACAAACAAATAATGTAAACTTCTCATAAGATAACTTTTCAATACATTTCTACTTTGCTGTTAACAAAAACAAAACCAGGCTCTATGGCCAAAGTTGAAGAAGTCTGTGAAGATGACCCTTATGCGGTACGGCATAAGGTTGTTGAGCTCTATGAGACACCTCATGAACGACGGTATACTGATGCTCTTGCGATTTTTGCGGATTCCTGCAACAATAAGGGTTAAAATTTTAAGGTGCTTCTGTTTTGAAGTGTAAAAAAAATATTATTTGAATACGTTCTTAATGCAGGCCTGCGTGTTTCAGTTACAAAGGCGTCACAATCTATGACGATGCCCAGGGCCGTCTTTAATAGGTTACGCTACTAGGGGCCCTGGGCACTTAAAGATCTTACAAGGACCCTTATCATCTGGAAAAAGGTCTTTTGAGCAGATGGGGGCACTGCAGGCAGTGGGCACGTGCCCAATATGCACAGTAGGAAAGAGGGGCCTGACGATGTCATTGGGAATAGAGGCAGTGCCTTATATGGAACACGAACCTTTACACGACGAAACGAAAATCTCTAAACAGAATTATTATTATTATTGAAACATACCATCAATGATGATCTTGGCTGCTTCCTTAGCCGTGATTTCCGAGTACAGGGAAGTGAAGCGATCGGTAGGCGGCGGGTACAGCCCTGTCGAAACCGTAGCCAGGTATACAGACGTGATGTTGATGTTCTTGGTCCACGTGTCTAGCCTCAACTCCTCGGTTATGGAGTCCATCAGACCTGGACACAAAAGTATTTGTCTTTGGCAATTTGAGGGCTCTCGCGGAATACCAGTTTCTTGACTGCCCTTACGAGCATGTCAGGATAAATGCTGAACGGGACACAGTGACCCACTATTTTCTATATTCGTTTTGTGTTGTTATTGTTTATAATTTGTGCTTACTGTGTTCAATAAAGTCTATTTCTTTCTTTCTTCTTTCTTTCTTACAAAGAGTATGAACCGATTTTTGATATCGACGTAGTGCAGAAATGTTGGAGGCAACAAAATTTCTGATCCTAGCTTTTGTATGGAACTTCACAAAGTGGAATCAGCATCTATCATGATGCGATAACCTGAATACAGTCAGCGCTGTACTAAACCACACGAGACCGACGTTAAATAACGTGCATCTCATTATAGTATAGTTCAGCGCCGCTCAAATGCGATCAGACCTTTATGTAAATGTAGGCTTGATATAAGATGAAGTTCCTACCTCTAAGACCAAACTTGGCAGCGCAGTACGGAATCATATCGGCGCACGGCATCAAGCCCGCGCTGGAGTTGATAGCGACGATGTGCCCGTGCCGCCTCTCAATCATACTCGGCAGGAAGGCTTGTATTATCTGAAAAGTTATTCGTGGTATAATTGAGAAAAGCGATATAATTTCACTTGCCAACAAAGTACGACGCATTTGCGCATGGTATACCAATGGAAAGCTTGAAAAGACCTTTATAAAATTACAAAGCGGTATTCAACAGAACTCCCACCGAACTAGGCGACCGTGCTTGCTGGAGAGTTCTTAAGACCTCACAATAGGTATTCACTGACCGATGGGGACAGCTCGTGGGTAAGTGGGAATTTAGAAAAGCGGGGCCTAGGCTACCCATTTAAAACCCGACGGTGTCCTCTGGAGCCAATGAAACGGAGTCATTATGATATGACCTCAATGACTTACCCAGAAATGACAGCAGATTGATGTCAATGATCCTGGCGATAGACTCCGGCCGCAGGTGGTTGATGACCATTAGACACGTCTATCAGCTGGCGGCGCATGCGTGCTATTAAGGAGGCACCTGCTCCCAAAGTAGAATCACTACCCAACGGTTATATCCTTACCCAGAAATGCGCCAGCAGATTGATGTCAATGATCCTGGCGATGGACTCCGGCCGCAGGTGGTTAAGCGGAGCATAGGTCAGAGCACCCGCGTTGCTGATCACCATAGATACGTCGGTCAGCTGGCGGCGCATGCGCGCTGCTAATGAGGACACCTGCTCCCGCGCTGTTATATCCACGGTGTAGCCAAAGCACTGAAAAGGTGTTTATTAATCTTTATAGGTACCAACCAACCAATAAACCAATTAATAAACCAACTAGCGGCCGCCCGCGCATCGCTTCGTACGCGTGGATCCCGTTTTCCCCCATTAGGGGTAGAGTTTCGTAAAATCCTTTCTTAGCGGATGCCTACGTCATAACATCTATTTCCAAATGAATAGATGCGGAGAACTCAGCCATTGAGTCGGTCCAATAAGGACGTCATTCGCCTATAGCGGCTCATAAAATAGGACACCAGGATAGAAACCGGAGTTGCTTCACTCAACAGGCTCACTTTACTTCTGGTTCAAATATGGTTTTAATACTTTAAACTATCGATACGTCTTATGACGGGCGACCACGGGTCGGAAGACATAGCGTAGGCAGGCCCCTCACTAGGCGGACCGATGATCTGGTGAAGGTCGCGGGAAAAGTCTGGATAAGGGCACCGAACGTCTTATGAAGGTAGGTAAGTTAACTAACATCGCCGTCTTTACTGCGGATTTCATCGATGACGGAATTGTTGCGGCGCGCGTCGCTGTCCCAGCAGATGACTGTCGCCCCGAGGTCTGCGAACTGTATGGCCAGCTCCCTCCCAACACCATTACCAGCTCCGGTGATCTAACATAATAAAGAAACGTTATAGTATAAGTAAGTACCTACAAATTTATTGTAAGTGCCACTGACTACGGCGCGTAATTTTGTTTGCATGTAAGCTGCAAGCAGACGTAAGTACACCAAGCGTCAATATGGTACAATGACGAATACGCTTGTAGAATGTTACGCCGCAGCGCCAGGGACATTTGATTCTTATAGGATTTTTGGCGGCCCGGTGATTTTGCGCACCATAGATTTGTTACTATCCTAGTTAAAGCTGAGTTATAAAAAGTCTCATATGCCCATTGAAGCATATGCCTAAGAATCAAGAACTACAAATGAAAAACTAATAGGTAGCTTACCAACACAGTCTCCCCGTGCAAGCTCTTCATAGCTGGCGGAATTAGCACCCTAAACACTGCCATAGCACAAGTAGAGCACAGCTTCACGACCAGCACCAGGGTATCCAAGGCCCACAGGGGGGCAGCAGACAGCCCACCACTGCCCCACCACGGCAGAATCCACACCTCCTGTAGTGCCCTGAACTTTCGTGCTGCGCCCCCTATGGAACGAACGAATATGTTTCGCCTATACATAATATTTAAAGGTAAATTCTATAAAATACGGTTGCTCATGTTTGACAGGTTTGAATGACAGGTGATGGTGACATGATTAGCAAGTGGGATTTTGAAATTGGAAGGAGTTGATTGAGCTAAAAGGAGGATAAAAACTTTTTATAGTTTTTGTGTCTGGTTGACTTGACATTTAATAAATGTCATAACGTAAATATATTCTTTGGTCATGCTTTGGTCATAACTTTTTCAAAGTTTGTGAATTGTTGATTTATTGATACGACTTGGGTTTTTATTTATTTTCTTATTAAATAAACAATCAGCACTTCTGAAACATGGCGAAACCACTTCAAAAGGAGAGGGAGAATCGGTCAGCCGATAAAAAGGACTTGACGTTCCACCCGTATACTATAACTCCTGAGAGTGCCCATACTTCGATATTGCTCTTGGAATCCGCAGAACCTGAGATACTATGTCAGGTAAACATTTACTAACTTCTTAGCTAAATGGCTAAGTAAATTATGTCGCTCTCGCTGCCCTTGTTGCACATAGTAATTGCTCAGCCTGTCTATTGTAGGTATATGTAACAAAAAATCACCTGGTCTTTCAAGAACTGAAGCATTGACAAAGGTGACTGAGTCGGACTGACGGAGTCTTCCGCCACTTCTTCTCAGCACCAGCCATATACAGGGNCCTCATTGAGAAAAGCGATATAATTTCACTTGCCAACAAAGTACGACGCTTTTGCGCATGGTATACCAATGGAAAGCTTGAAAAGACCTTTATAAAATTACAAAGCGGTATTCACCAGAACTCCCACCGAACTAGGCGACCGCGCTTTCTGGAGACTTCTTAAGACCTCACAATCTATAGGTATTCACTGGCCGTTGGGGTCTTGGGGACCGCTCATGGGTTATGTGGAATTTTTTCCGCTTGCGCACTGCTAAGAAGAACACCTTCTCCCGCGCTGTTATATCCACGATATAGCCGAAGTAGATTAATCTACCCAACGGTTATATCCTTACCCAGAAATGCGCCAGTAGATTGATGTCAATGATCCTGGCGATGGACTCCGGCCGCAGGTGGTTAAGCGGAGCATAGGTCAAGGCGCCCGCGTTGCTGATGACCATAGACACGTCGGTCAGCTGGCGGCGCATGCGCGCTGCTAACGAGGACACCTGCTCCCGCGCTGTTATATCCACAGTGTAGCCGAAGCACTGAAAAGGTGTTTATTAATCTTTATAGGTACCAACCAACCAATAAACCAATGCGGAAAACTCAGCCATTGAGTCTTACGTTATTAGGGATAACAAACAATTGTACAAACGGTTTTTACAAAAAGTCTTACAGATATATCCTAAATAAATGCACAACCAGCACCGTTATCCACGAAAATAATAAGAGTCGGTCCAATAAGGACATCATTCGCCTATAGTGGCTCATAAAATATGACACCAGGATAGAAACCGGAGTTGCTTCACTCAACAGGCTCACTTTACTCCTGGTTCAAATATGGTTTTAATTCTTTAAACTATCGATACGTCTTATGACGGGCCACCACGGGTCGGAAGACACAGCGTAGGCAGGCCCCCCACTAGGCGGACCGATGATCTGGTGAAGGTCGCGGGAAGAACCTGGATGCGGGCGGCGCAGGATCGATCGTTATGGAACTCCTTGGGGGAGGACTTTGACCAGCAGTGGACGTCATTAGGCTGAAACGAATTAAGGTCTTATGAAGGTAGTAGGTATGTTAACTAACATCGCCGTCTTTACTGCGGATTTCATCGATGACGGAATTGTTGCGGCGCGCGTCGCTGTCCCAGCAGATGACGGTCGCCCCGAGGTCTGCGAACTGTATGGCCAGCTCCCGCCCAACACCATTACCAGCTCCGGTGATCTTTGTAAAGAAACGTTATTGTAAGTAGGTACCAGTAACCACGGCGCGTAATTTTGTTAAGCAGGCCGTAATTTTGTTACCGAGCGTACAATGTGGTAGGTACAATGACGAATAAGTACGCGTATAGAAAACTACGATGCTGACGATGCCGTGGACATTTGACGCTTATTGAATTTTCGGCGGCCGGCCCGGTGATTCTGCGCACGATAGATTGTTACGTAGTGACTTGCCTGATAAAGCTGAGTTACAAAACCGTCTCATATGACTAAGAATCAAGAACTATGATTGTATGAAATACGAATAGCTTACCAACACCGTCTCTCCGTGCAAGCTCTTCATAGCTGGCGGAATTAGCACCCTAAACACTGCCATAGCACAAGTAGAGCACAGCTTCACGACCAGCACCAGGGTATCCAAGGCCCACAGGGGGGCAGCAGACAGCCCGCCACTGCCCCACCACGGCAGAATCCATACCTCCTGCAGTGCCCTGAACTTTCGTGCTGCGCCCCCTATGGAACGAACGAATATGTTTCGCCTATACATAATATTTAAAGGTAAATTCTATAAAATACGGTTGCTCATGTTTGACAGGTTTGAATGACAGGTGATGGTGACATGATTAGCAAGTGGGATTTTGAAATTGGAAGGAGTTTCTTGAGCTAAAAGGAGGTAAAAACTGATTAAAACTTTTTATAGTTTTGGTGTCTGGTTGACTTTACATTTATTAAATGTCATAACTTTTTCAAAGTTTGTGAATTTGTTGATTTATTGATACGACTTGGGTTTTTATTTATTTTCATAATAAATAAACTATCAGCGCTTCAACAACCATGGCAAAACCACTTCAAAAGGAGAGGGAGAATCGGTCTGCTGACAAAAAGGACTTGACCTTCCACCCGTATACTATAACTCCTGAGAGTGCCCACACTTCGATTTTGCTCTTGGAATCCGCAGAACCCGAGATACTATGTCAGGTAAACATTTACTAACTTCTTAGCTAAATGGCTAAGTAAATTATGTCGCTCTCGCTGCCCTTGTTGCACATAGTAATTGCTCAGCCTGTCTATTGTATATGTAACAAAAAATAATCACTTGGTCTTTCAAGAACTGAAACATTGACAAAGGTGACTGAGTTTCTTCCGCCGCTTTTTAGCACCAGCCATGTGTTGTCCCGAAGTGGTGGTAGGGCAAGCTATATTTGGGACGTGTATAAGTGCCCTAGAATAGGGCCTAGTACTGAATAAATAATTTGAATTTGAATTACCAGCAACGAAAATCTTACCGACGTTTCTTCAAGAAATCCTGGTTTCATCAATACATTTTCTAAATCAGTCCAACATATTCTCAAATCGAACTTCGTAATCATAAACACCACAAGGCGGTGTCTTTAGGTATTACAAACCAATGCACTTGGAAATCCAACTTCTTTTCACTGGTTTTCACTAATCCACTCGTATCGTAGACTCTCCGAGCGATCACGAAGTTCTCCGCGCAAGACATGGCGAACCGCAACGTTCTCTTCAACTTGAACGCGATCCGCTACATCCTGCCCCACGTAGAGCATCCTGAGCTGAACATCAAGCGGTTCGCGCTGAAGGCTCTGGCGCAGCTGTGTCAGCTGCCGAGGGGCCCGGAGCAGGTGCTGGCCAACTCGCAGAACCTGAGGAAGATCGCGTTTATGCTCGTCAAGGTAACATTTACATTCTTGAGACTCCTTACGGATTAGCAAGCTGAAGTGGCAATAGGCAGGGCACGTAGTACCACCCCACAAGGTGGACCGACGAATTCGTAATGGTAGCAGGAAGGCGCTGGATGCAGGCCGCCACCAACCGGCCATTATGGAAATCATTGGGGGAGCTGACGGTCGATGGAGCAGCAAGATTCTGGAGATGAGGCCACGTACCGCAAAGTGCAGCGTAGGACGTCCGTTAAATCCAACCAGGAAAGATACTCTTTTGGTTTTAATATCGACAGACACACATTTCTATTCATCTTCATTGCTGTATGATTTGATTCTCTCCTATGCTGAGATCGATTGCATATTACGGCCTACGTGACCGATGTCAGCATAGGAAGAATTCAAGTCTACAATCTATAGGAGTTCTACAGCTTGACGTAGCCCATGTAATATCTAACCAAGCATGCTGTGAATAGTACTTGACTGTAGTATAGTTAGTAGATTATTATATCAAAGCATCATAATTTGGTTCCAGATGGAAGATGTATTTGTCTTGGAATTCGCCTCGTTAGTTCTTTCGGAGCTGACCAGGGAACCACTTGGCTGCGAACAGCTGGTCTCCGCAAATATACTGAGCAGTCTCTTTTCAAGAATGAAAAACAGCTTAGATCCTGATGTCCAGAAGAACTGTCTACAGGTATTGGCTCCTTTTTAGGCTTCAAACTTATGTATTCTAGCACATACTCGAAAACTACAGTACTAGGGCTATTGCTTATACGACTTGCTGGCTTGACGCCCGTGATATCTGCGCTGGAAATATATGAAATCTATCGAACGTAGGAGCTGAAATATACCCAGACACTTATTGCTTGCATTAATCAGCCAGTATACTTAAAATACTAAGGACGCCTTCAAATTCAGTGGCGCTACTGCAGCGCTTCCTCACGTCTCTTTTGAAGGCGCCCTAATGTACTTAACTGGTTCTTGAAAAGTTTCCAGCTGTCATGTATCGTTCGTTCGTTTTAGTCCAAATGACGTCCACTGCTGGACGTCGTTATGGCAAGTCTTGGGGGTCTTGGGGTCTTTGTCCAGCATGTATCGCTTTCGAATAATTAAAGGTTGCTGCACTGCCTCAGAGATCTGAGGCCTGTGAGTGGAACTCACGAAGGAAATTAGGAAAATTTCCTTCCTCATAGTTTATTAGAAAGTTTATTAGAAAGTGATTTAGTTCTTATTTTTCTCCCAGACCCTCAGCAACCTTCTAGACGACCCAGTTTGCGCTTCCGAAGTGACCAAGAACCAGCAGTTCAGCTGGCCTTCTCTGCTCGCCCTGATGCAGAGCAAGTACCTGGCCATACAACACGCGGCGCTGCGGACGGTGGACCAGCTCATCTGCCGGTATAAGGACCAAGTGGTGCAGAGGACTTTTAGGGCGTCTACCGGGGTTTTGGACCTGTGCGATATTTTGGAGGTGATTAAAAAAAAATATTGACGATTTTTATCAGCACTGAAATAAGTGTTATTATTTATAAGTATTTTTTTAAAAGAATGTTAGCAATTTGTATGCACAAATCACTAATTGTCCCATTAACCCCTCGTAGTAAGCTAAATATGCTTGTATGACGAGTAGGGTCGCTACAATAGTTAAGGCGATTAGAGTCCTCAATCCGCGCCAAATGGGCATTTTGTAAAGCCTACTCCTCTTTTACTGCTGGACAGAAATAGTTGAAAAAAATATATGTTATACAACAGTTCAAGGACTACATTTGTGACGTTTGAATTTTCGCTACGTCTCTTTGTTTTGGATTAAAAAAATAAATACGGGACATCGATTTTTTACTTAAATTCCCTACTCCTCCAAAACGGCTATGTTAATTTAAAAGATTTTTGCACGAATAGATTAGGAATTCTTTAATCTTTAAATGACACGTTGCGTTTTTCAATCGAACATAACTTTCATTCATAAATTTTACTTTTGATAAATTCCGAACGTTTTGCTGTTGAGGGGGCCTTCGCGGGGTGCGGGCGGCAGTCGGCCGCTGGCCTTCAGACGGGGAGGTTGTGTGGTGTCTATGGGCGACGGTAATCATTTACCAACAGGTGATCCGTTTGCTCGTTTGCTTCCTGTCACATTAAAAAAAATTAAGATAAAGTGGTACTGAATTGTTCTATAGAGCTTATTAAAAATTTGGATACTGATTACAAATTAGCCATTTTCGGAGTCGGTGGCAGCCTACCTTTTGGTGATTCGTTTTGGAGTTGGTTTTAATTTTTAGTGAAATTAATCTATTTCATGCCTTTATTAGACTATAGGTACTCAGTAGACCTTGTTGTTGCCACTGAAGGTGCATAGGTACTCTACATTATACCGGTATAGGTGCATTGATACCATATTTTTCATGTTAAGTGCAAATAAACTTCCCTAAATTACCAAACCAATAACTTTACAATTACTTGTTTAATTGACATATAAAAATATCCTGTGTCCAATATTTTTTGATAATGTATAATTGACGGACCAAGTCTTTTTTAGGGTTCCGTACCTCAAAAGGAAAAAACGGAAATAAAATAAAATTTTATCCCGTACAAAATGTTCATGGATATTGTTATTTTTATTAAATACCTTTACGCCTGAGTTAAATGACACCGACATCAAGGTTCATCAATTTAAGTTTAAAATAATAGGCAGTAATGTATGAAGAAAGAGCTTCTATTCTGTATCTACCTATGCCCGTGTATTTTTGATCGGTGTCAAATCGGAGTTTTTGGTGCGGGGTACGCGGGTGTTGCACGCGGCGTGAAGGTCAAACGCCAAGGTCATTGAGGACTCTAATCGCCTTAAGCGGCGGCGGGGATCGAACCCGCGTTCCTCGGATCACGAATCGACCAGTAGACACCTTCACTCTTCTTTTCTCTTTCTCTCCGGTATTACACATCTTCACAGCCTCAATTTGCCCCTGGTAAATTTGAGATACCTGCAAATGACTTGATAAGGATAATGATGATGTTCTTGATTGCGACAAAATCCAAAGCTAAAAAAAAGATTTACAAGTTGTGGATAGTATTTACCTTCAAATTCTCCTTCATGGATATGTTGAATTGGGTGACTATGTATACTAATCCATGTTCGTATTTATTCCACCACCAGTCTTACGAGTTCCGAGACGTCCACACCCAAGTGTTAGGAGTATTACGCAACTACGTGGAAACCGAAGAGAATGCTGCCCACTTGTACCAGTCAGGCTGCATCCTCCGACTGCTGGCTTACCTGGAGATGGCGCTGCCGGCTATGAAACCGCACTGTCTCGCTGTGCTGACCAAGATGTCTTTCACTTCTAACGGGAGAGATGTAAGTAGTCAATGTATAGATCGTTTCATCCACGAAGACCCGCCCCACCATTCTTCCTCTAATGTTTGAGTGTTATCGGTACACGCTAAATCATCCATGATTGCACATTACAATAATGACGCTCGGATTGCTCGGATCAAACTCCCCGCACCCCGCGCTTCCCTCGTCCAAAAATTGGTGGGCGCATTTTCGTGGATGAAACGAACTATACCTAATAATCTTGAATTGAAAACAGTCTTGTCTTGCCCGTTATTCACATTAAATAGTACTATAATGCCTAATAATATAATTTGGATTAACTTTTTTCTCAAATCATTTTTATTCACACTTCCGCTCTAATACAGCTGCCTGCGTTACAATTCCCATAATTAATTAATTTTAATCAACTCCATTCAAAAATCCATCATAATTTGCTAGAATGTGATTTACAGGCTTTTGTCCGCGGCGTCTTTCGCGTTAAATTTTGGACCTCCGTTGCATCTCATTTCCCTAATGGTGATTTTAGAAAATTCTTTCTTTACGTCATAATAACTATCCGAGTGTCAAGTTTCAGCACATCCGTTCAGCAGTTTCATCAATCAATCAATCAGTATTATTTGTCCTATTACGAATACAGATACCCTATTTAATTTCTCTACAGGCTCTCTACCAAACCGGCACGGACCTGGTATTCTGCCACCAGCTGCTCAGTTCCAATGTAGAACTGCTCGCAGACGCGGCTATGGGAGTCGCCAACATGACTAAACTGCTGCCGGCCGCTGTAAGGATGTCGGATACCAACATCATTGAGGCTTTGTGCGGTAAGAAATAAGGTTGTTTTTTGACTGTCGAGAGAGGACATATTAACATCATTCATTGAGACTTTGTGCAGTAAGGAATAAGGTTCATTATAGTTTGTCGAAAGAGAGAACGTGACCATGGGCGTCGCCAACATGACCAAGCTGCTGCCTGCTGCTTTGAGGATGTCGGACACCAACATCATTGAGGCTTTGTGCGGTAAGGAATACGGTTGTTTTTAGCTTTTCCATAGGACGTTGCCAGTTGCTGTCATGGTGTTGGATGCAAATATTTGAAACGGCTCTTTTTCGACTGTCAATAGAGAAGATCACTTTCCATCTGACCTTATTACAATAATATTGAAGTCGCAGGTTGAAGATTCTTAGGATCTTCGGTCTGATCGTCACTTTTCGTTAGGTTAGATGCAGGTCAAGAGCTTCCCTGTTGCACTCCATTGTAAGTATTCATGTACTACATAATGTTGCGTTTGAGACCCGATGTTTTCAATTCTCTACTGTGGGAAACTAAAAGGATTTGTTAAAGCTTTAAGCAAATTGTGGGTTCAATTCCTACTTGAGGCAATCTAGTTTTTCAAGCTTTTAAAAGCTTAATTATATTGCTGTCGCGACTGTGCGACGGGCGCCCGCAGTGAGTGTGATAGCAACATAATTATGCGCGAGCGATAAGGATGGGTAGCTTGGGGTCATTGGACAAAATTCTACGTGCTAACAGACCAGACTATAATAACGTTAAATTGTTGCTTCAGCTATCCTCGGTGACGATGCTGCCGTCTGGTTCTACATTCGCATGAACTCGCTGCGAGCTCTGGCTGAGCTGTGCCGCATCATCCCCAAGGCTGCCTTTAGCTTGGTGGAGCCGAAGACCTTCGCGTCTCTGAGGAACATTAACAAGAAGTGTGAGTACTGAGATAGATAACATTTTATTGTACCCCACACAAAACAAGAAAGGAGCCAAAAGACGGCAAAATGAGCTTCTTTTAACCTATAAACTGCCAAAAGTGCTCATGGAATTTCTTTGAAGCCCAATTTCTTTGAATGCTTATCACCGCGATGTGATATACAGAAAACGCCATCTATTGGCATGAGGATCTTTTTAAATAATGTGATAAGTCGTAATGCAATGAAAGATTTCCATTTCATATGTTTCTAATTGTTCATATTACTCGTCAAACATTTAACCTGTTGTTCAGTGTAGATTCTCGTCTAGGTCGATTCATAGCTTTTCTCTATTCTCTCTTGTCTTACACGATTATCACACTGCACCGCGCTCCGACGCGGTCCGCGTGGCTACATATAAAGAATCCCGCGCGCAGACGCGTTGTCAGTGTGTTGTGCCGCGCGTGTTTTCTATACAAACTGAGGTACTTGCATACAATTATTAAAACTGTCGTCCCGCGTACCGCGGCGGAGCGCGGTGCAGTGTGGTAATCGCCTTAAAAAGGTTCATTCGATTTGTCTGACCATCTAAATGCTGTGGTTTTCAGTCAAGGACAACCCGATAGAGGCGCAACGGCTGGCCGTGCAGTGCTACATCAATCTGCAGAACTACCACGTCAGCACCAAGGCCATGCTCAACCCGGAGTTTATGCAGGAGTTGCTCAACATATTGCAGGTAGATGCATTGAAGTTTCATGGGTATTACCAGGCTTGTTCATCTCCGCGAGTTTACATCGAAAACGAAAAATCGATAAAAAAAATCATCCGCAAGCGTCTTAGCGCCCCTGCACACGACGTCGCTACCGCGCCGCCACCGCGCCGTCGCCGCGCCTTTGCACTGTTTATACGCGCCGCGTGAACACCGCTGCCGCGCCGCCGCCGCGCCGCTGGCGAAATTATGCTTTGATGGCGCGGTGGCGGCGCGGCGGCGGTTTACTCGGTGCGTATGAACAGTGTAGCGGCGCGGCGACGGCACGGCGGCGGCGCGGTGACGGCGTCGTGTGCAGGAGCCCTTATAGTATTTTATGCCATTGTTGTAATTTATTTAAGCGGCATTATTACTTTACAGCGGATCGATATCAACCTGAAGATCATGACCTGCACAGTTCTCAGCGGGCTGATGGCAGAGGACATGGCCAAAGAGCTGTTCACGTCTCGCAAGGGCGAAGAGGTAATTTGCGGTTAAAGTTAATATTCTAATTGACTTTTTCCGAAAATACCCTTTTTTAATTGAAGTTTACTTGTTGAATTCATGCCTTAAAACTCTGGCACATACAAGCACACATGTTTATAGCTGTCAATACTCATATGTAGCAGCTACTGAAACGATAAGCAGTGCTCACGTCGCATTGCAGTTCAGCTAAATCAATGACAGCTTAACTATTCCTTTGTTTAAACTTGGCTTTCACTGTCTGTGTTTTTGACAGTGACAGATTGCCAGATTTGTGACAGATGTACGCTCTATTTCAACCAAAATAGTAAGACACGACGCCGCGAGCCGCCAGTCTGCTTGTGACCACGGCTGCAGCATCGCAGCCGAAACGTCAAGCTTCACAGCTTACTCACGTACATAATGTAACTCATTAATAAACGTCGCGTTAAGACCAGTGTCTTACTATTTTGGGAATAAGATAGTTACAGTGGCTCTGCGCCAGAGTTTTTAAAGTAGCAAAAGCTTCAAAGTCAGTAATTCCTCAGGCGGTATCCAACAACCTCAGCATAGAGCACATCGGTCTTCGCACGGCGCTGTGCAAGCTCATAGCATGCAGCGTCACCGACGACGGCGCTGACGTCTACTTGGAACTAGGGACCATACACTAGTAAGATTATTTTACATATTAAAAACCTTATTGCATATAAAGCCTGGTCCGTGAGCACGTAGAAACTTGTCCAACGACCCCAAGCTACCCATCCTTATCGCTCGCGCGTAATTATGTTGCTGTCGCGCTCGCACACTCACTGCGGGTGCCCGTCGCAGAGTCGCGACAGCAATATAATTACGTGCGAGCGATAAGGATGGGTAGCTTGGGGTCATTGGACCAGTTTCTACGTGCTTACGGACCAGGCTTTAGCATACTATCCATTTGCGAATTTAATGCCTTAAGGCATTCTTTTTCAGTCAAACTTTGGGTTAAGCACAAAATTAAAGCAGTTGGTGCATAAACGATTGCTATTTTGTATTGTCATTGGTTGCCGGTCAATTACCAGTGGCGCTAGTTTCGACACAATGTCATAATAATCGTAAATGCAGCGAGTTGTAACTAGTCGCATTCGTGTTGCTATTGTACAATAAAATTAGCAACGTCGTTGTCGGTTGTAATAACCGTGGTGTAAAGGTGCCTTCAAATTAGAGGCGTGAAGAAACGCTACAGTAGCGCGCTTGCCGTACCACTACTACTTTTTATACAATAGACGTATTGACACCACCAATCAATTGACGTACTTTTTAAAACTGTCAAAACGAAACTCTCCCATAGATTTTGTATGGCACTACAAGCAAGTGACGTTACTATTTTGTCAACTCAATTAAACTACTTTTTTCAATTACAATGCGACCAAAAATCGTAATTTACAGGTAATAAAAATAATTAAGTTTTTAAGACCAGAATGAAGTGTCTTTTTGGAAAAGTTGTGATTTCGAATTTTTGGGGAATGGTGTCAAATTGTCTGTTTCTAGAAGCGTCACTATACCGTGTCAAATGCAATCGGCAGTGGCGCTGCAACTGCGCTTCCTCACGCCTCTAGTTTGAAGGCGTCCTAAGACTTCATTACCCACCAGCTTTTGATATCTCAATATCGATTCTACAGCATGGTGGGCAACCGTTTAGCTCGCTACGTGGTAGGCGCGTGGGAGCCGGCGTTGGAGGCCATTTTCCGGCGCCATCCTGCCGCCCAACTCGCCTACACCGGCCGCCTCGACATCAACGACTTCACGCAGGTTCGTTCTTTAGCAAAGTGACGTCAATTGTTAAACACTCACGCTCGTATTCACAAACGATGCTTTCTCAAGCACAGCGTTGAATAAAGCTCTGTGATCGGTTCGTGTGTCACCTTGTGCGTCCACGTGCATTATGAGACCTTATAGTAATGTTTGTGAATTCATACGGGCGTCAGCATCAAATAGTTCTGACTTACTTGACTTATGGTCCTATGTCCCCTAGATGGGGCAGAGGGCGTCCACAACAGTCCTCCATCTCGTTCGGTCTTGAGCTTCTCGCTTGATTTCGCTCCAGGTCTTGCCGATCTTCTTCGCCTCGTCCACTACAGTGCGCCGCCAAGTTTGCCTGGGTCGACCACGTTTCGATCAAATAGTTCGTGACACCCAAAAAGTTCGGAACACGTCTTTGTTACAATTGGAATAAGGTTGTATTTTCAACTTTTTTGGCCACTTATGGTGTCACGAATTATTTGAAGCTGAATGGACAAGGTCCTCCCCCAATTTTCATAACGGCCGGTCCTGCGCTACCTGCATCCAGGTACTTCCAGCGACCTTTACCAGATCGTCGGTTCACCTTGTGGGGGGCCTGCCCACACTACGTCTTCCGTCCCGTGGTCTGCCCCAACGGCCCTCGCGGTCTGTACACTCGAGGAACCATTCAGACGTCATTTTACTATTTAGTGCAAATCGCCCGTCACATGACGCAACTATCAGACCTTATCGTTTCGATTAAGAACTTGACGTGTGTGGCGTTTCTAAAAAATCATCTAATATTCACCATTTGAGGCGATAAAAATGAAAATAAATTAATTGATTGAAAAAAAATTACACGATTTATTTTTAAATGTGTGTGCACCACCATGGAATACTATTACCTTTGAAAGTCCTGTAATTGTACTCCGTATGGTTGACGTTCAAACTTGTATACTATCTAACCTTCACCATTCCAGGAAGGTTTCTACGTCCAGAAGCGTCTAGGCGAGTCGTTCCCGACGATCCAGGCGCTCATGGAGCAGAAGCCTCCGCACAGGGACCCCGTTTTCATCTGCATGTTCCACCAGCCGCCCTTTGACGTCGCGTCAGGACTGGATATCAGATCGCCTCGTGAGTAGAGTTGATTCGGCTCGAAGGATCTTCTTCTATAGTAGTGTAACAAAATATCCGCCACACAGGGACCCCGTGTTCATCTGCATGTTCCACCAGCCGCCCTTTGACGTCGCGTCAGGACTGGACATCAGATCGCCTCGTGAGTGATCCGGTTCGAAGGACCATTATTTATAATAGTGTGACAAAGAAGCCTCCGCACAGGGACCCCGTATTCATCTGCATGTTCCACCAGCCGCCCTTTGACGTCGCGTCAGGACTGGACATCAGATCGCCTCGTGAGTTTACACGATCCGGCTCGAAGGACCATTATTTATAGTAGCGTGACATAAAAAAGCCACCGCACAGGGACCCCGTGTTCATCTGCATGTTCCACCAGCCGCCCTTCGACGTCGCCTCTGGGCTGGATATCATATCGCCTCGTGAGTTTATACCATCCGGTTCGAAGGACCATTATTTATAGTAGTGTAACATAAAGAAGCCACCGCACAGGGACCCCGTGTTCATCTGCATGTTCCACCAACCGCCCTTCGATGTCGCCTCCGGGCTGGACATCAGATCGCCTCGTGAGTTTATACGATCCGGCTCGAAGGACCATTATTTAAAGAACTAAAATAACTGAGATATAAATTTGTTCGTGATGTGAGCTGCCAATGTGAAAAAGTACGGAGTTGAAAAACTAATTTATTTATTAAAATATTTTTTCCATGACTCGATATTTTACAGATAAGTGACATCGATTTATACGCGAATGACGATAGTTTTCAAACGCGTCGACTAGCGTAAATACGGTAGACCATAATACAACATATTACAACTAGTGCCTCTGCCCTCTAGTTCACCTGGACTTGACGGCAGTCGATGCTATCTTTGTATAGATGACCTAAATGGACTGTCCCACCAAACTCATTGACAAGGAGACGCCACCATCGGACGGATACTGTCAATGTCATGGATAGGACAGTTCAGTATTTTGGAATTATATAGACCCAATATACTGAACTGTCCTATCCGTGACATTGACAGCGGGGCGCCACCGTCAATACCGGATCGCTGGTTCCGATTTTTGCCATGTTGGAAACCATATAGTTGAACGATGGTAGCGCCCCCCTGTCATTGAGTGTGGTGGGACAGTTCAGCGTGGGTCATCTATAAAAACGTTTTATTTCCTAGACCACCAATCGGAGTCGAAGCTGGGAATGAGTTCGTCTCGTCTGCGCGTGCCGCTGCTTCCTGACGACCATAACTTGCGCTCCTATCTGCTCAAGCTGAGGATCTGGTTTGGGGACCCGTGAGTATCAATTTATCACATAGGCTCAATAAGGTTGTGACATAAATTTTAGTAGAATAGTTCACACGATGAAACAAGATAAAATCTAATAAACGTTTTTTTCCTAGCTGATAGAGATGAAATGATTGCTTTTCATGAGAGAAATCTGTAGATTTACTCCGATAATCTCATGGACATCATCTAGCACTAAAGTGCTCGAAAAGATGNAGTTGGTGCAGTATCAGTATCGGCGCGCCGACTGCTGGTCGTCGGCGGCGGCGGCGTGGAAAAATTCGCGGCGGCGGCGGCGCGCCGGCGTGGCGCCCACCTCTACTTGGTATAGATAAAATTAATGATATGACACCGCTTATGATAATTATTTAGATGGAAGGACTATTTTTATTTTAATTCATTAGCTCGAAGGACCATATTTTTATTTATCTATGTTTTTTTTTCAGAGCTAAATCGCTTCATTACTTTGAAATTGAAAATGCTCACTACGAAGTTAGGTGGGTTTGTTTTTTTATTATTACATATTTTAATTTTTTCCACTTTTTTTCTTCATATTTTATACTGTTCGTATTTCTAATACAGTAAAATAAAATAAAAATGTAGAGCATTATTTTGAGTAGTATACATTATCTTTGTTTCCCTAAAAACAGATATCGCGACAAATGCGAGGAAGTGTCATCTTCACTGAAGCAACGCGCCACTTTACTAGGCGAGTTCGTAGCGGAGCAGATGAGCGGATTGTCGCAGGAAAGGGACTGTTCCGTGGCCAGTGTCGACCTGCATCTTCAAGATATCATGGTAAGAACGTCTACTATAAGTGTGGGCTGTAGTTCTATTCTTTAGCCATGAGCGAGTATTATCGATACCTTGCATTCAAATCCCTGCTACTCCTTTATAACCAGGATCTACGAAGTTGTTGCGAAGTACAGTGCACTTCATCTATCAGGACCTTTCGCCGAGTTTCGCTCGTCTTTGATTAGTTCCTGGAGAATTCCTCATTAATCAAGTTTCAAGGTCTGAGTCACCAGTAATTTAGGTTTGGATATGATATTTAAATAGTAACACCAGAGTTGGCTTTTCAAAAATATCACAGTTTTTAACCTGAATATTCTTCTCTTATGTTCTGATTAAATTCGTTGCGAGTCAATGACAGTTTAACTTTCCCCCGGGAAAAACTTGACCTTCGGTTCCTGTAGATCCTGGCTACACAGGAGATGCAGCGGTGGGAACGAGAGGTGGGAACAGTCCCGTAACCTGTTGCATTCGGTACAAAAGTACGAGTTTCATTTTTATGACAGGTACATTCAGGGGGCGTAGTGTGAGTTTACGTCAAACGCATTTGATGTAGTCTGCGTAAAAAAGTGACATTAAATGTATGACGGATCGTACAGCACCCATAGCGGAAACTTTGACTTGACTTACTTGACTTATGGTCCTATGTCCCCTAGATGGGGCAGAGGGCGTCCACAACAGTCCTCCATCGCGTTCGGTCTTGAGCTTCTCGCTTGATCTCGCTCAAGGTCTTGCCTATCTTCTTCGCCTCGTCCGCTACAGTGCGCCGCCAAGTTTGCCTGGGTCGACCACGTTTGCGTTTTCCTTGGGGATTCCAATCCAGAGCCTGCTTAGGGNGTGCTTGTAAAAATGGTACGCATATCTTTATTGCGACTAGTTTTCTTAGAGTATTATACCATTTTGGAATCTTGGATAGTTGCGGCAACTTTATAAAAAACTTGCCGTAGTAGTGTTCATACTGTTTTATTACAAAACGACGAGTCAAAGTGGAGTGAAAGTAAAAATCGTTCAAAATTTTAAGGAAATATCATATTTTGATTAACTTTTGTGTAAAAACTGCAAGGATTCTGAGGGTTTTAAGAATTGGAGAGGACAGCAGCACTACTTAAGTTGCCGATACAAACAAAAAAACAGAAGTATTTGAAAAATTGTGGTCGTGGTAATGTAAAATATCATAAGGGGTGTCAATTTTCGACGAATTTCATAATTTATTGTGTAACTTAAAAAAATAATTGAGATAGATTTTTTTTCTTATTTTTCCTAAAGTAGTCATGACTATGTCCATCCTGCGGCGCCGGCTTATCCTTGAATTTTGGGACACGTTGTATAAAATAAATGATATGACACCGCTAATAATAATTATTTTGATGGTAGGACTATTTTTCTTTTTATTTATGCGCAGCTCGAAGGACCACATTTTTTATTTATCGATGTTTTTTTTTTCAGAGCTAAATCGCTTCATTACTTTGAAATTGAAAATGCTCACTATGAAGTTAGGTGGGTTTATTTTATTGAAATTATTATGTATTTTTATGTTTTACACTTTTTTTCTTGACATTTTAAACTGTTTGTTTCCCTAATGGTGAGTCCACACTGGGCGAACGTGCTCGCCCAGCAAGCTGGTCATCCTGCTCACTCTGCTCTTGAGTGAGCAGGATGCTGATTCTGCCGCGCGAGCCCTTTCGCCCAGTCTGGACGCACCATAATAATGTAAAAGAAACAATGTTGAACATCATTTTGAGTACTACATTATCTTTGTTTCCCTAAAAACAGATATCGCGACAAATGCGAGGAAGTGTCATCTTCGTTGAAGCAACGCGCCACTTTACTAGGCGAGTTCGTAGCGGAGCAGATGAGTGGATTGTCGCAGGAAAGGGACTGTTCCGTGGCCAGTGTCGACCTGCATCTACAAGATATCATGGTAAGAATTTCTCATAAAATAATCTTTTTTATTCTCAAATCATAAGCGAGTAATAATAAAGTCTGATGGTTTCTTCTCGCTTCTGTTTCTACTACTTGTAATGAAGAACTAAAATTTTGATGTGAGTAGACACATCAGGATAATTTTCGTCGCTCTTCAACGGTTCCTACAAACCCTCCATTAATTTGATAATGTGTTCAAATAGTGTGGGTATAAAAGTTGCAGTAAATTACAGTGTTTATTTATTTATTCATGAGGTAAACAAGCTTGTGAGTACCTGATGGTTAGCGATCACTACCACTGACATTGACAACACAAAAGTTACCAATTCTTTTAAGACTATAATAGGTGAATTCCCTGTGATTATTTTCTCGCAGTTCCAACGCCTTACCAGACAAGTATTTTAGGGTAGCTGTCAAAGCCACTGTGCACGACGGACGGCCCCGAATAGAAACTTATAGCTGTAAATAATTGTTTCGTTTTTGTTTCATAGTTGTTTCATAGTTATTTCGTTTTATAAAGTTTGTATAGTTTGAATGTCGATAACTTCGTAATACAGTCCATTTTCTCTTAGTTGGTTCTCAATTAGTAATGTGTCGAGTCCTTAATTACATAGTTTATTTTAGAAAACCATAGAAATGTATAATTTGATAGCCCTTTGTTTTATGTATATCGATTACTTAAACCTGTAATTTCGCATAGTTATGTATGTCGAGTCGTATTTATAGTATGTATATTAGATAGATAATTATGTATAGATCTTTATAGTTATTTACTTTTATAGCCTGACCAGGAACATAAAAACCCTGGCATAGAGGCGCGTCAATCGCATTGGATAGTGCAACACTGAGTACAGTCGTACCTGTGTTAAATTAATAGGCTAACTTTATGTATCAGGATTCAGGATTACGGGCTAATTTGATATTTTCATAAATTAACGAAAAAATATTATTATAGGTAACCTGGTTTAAATAAATTAAATGAAACCATCAATCGAGCTAGTAGGATTTATTTTATTATTCATCAATAATCAAATTCAGAACTTGAATATTCAACTGCAATGTCTGCTCATGAACGCTTCAAACTCGGTACTTCTTTCCCAATTCCATAAAATTCAACACTTAGAAAGTGACATTTTTTTTCAAAAAGTATCATTTTTTATTATTTGTTGGCCTTTTTTGTGTATTTTATGTATTTTTTTAGTATCGCCTGTTATTTAGCATTATTACTGTTTTTATTTTATCAGGATATACCGCTTAGTTTAAAAGTTATTACGTTTTCTGTACAATAAGTAATTGGAAGAAAAAAAATTCTAAAAAGTTTGTCACAGATCGTCATAAATTATAGCCTATATGTTATTTTGGGTTATAAACAATAATACTGTAAAGTTACATCATAATCCGTTCAGTAATTTTTGCGTGAAAGAGCAACAAACATCCAGACATCCAAACTTTCGCATTTATAATATTAGTTGGATAATAGTGTCAACCACTCAACTAAATACTACTTCCTTCTCGTGTATTTGTTTGCAAACTATTACTATAATAACGTACTAAATATAAATAAGTATACGTGGATATCTGTTATTGTCTTTCTTGCATAGTATTAAGAGTAACATTTTTCTATCATAACGAAATAAACGTAACACATGACAAGACAACCCTAGCGCGACGGCCGAGCGTGCGAGCGAGAGAGGTATGCAAAGCGAGGTACATACATGAGTTTACCTTCTGTTATATTTTGTGCTATTACTCACTGCACTCGTACGCAGTGTTGCCAACATTTTTAAAATACAATTTGGGTTAGGTTAGTAAGTAAAATTTTAGTGGTCAGACTTGAGTTTTATGAAATTTTGATTGGTTATCATCGATTCGATGTTTTAACACTGAAAACTTAAAAACATCGATACATCGAGTATTTCAATAGCTTTTCAAAACATCGGATCCATTCGATGTATCGCATTGTAAACATCGATGTTTTCAATACATCGATGTATATCGAATATCCCTAANTCTGGATGTTTGTTGCTCTTTCACGCAAAAATTACTGAACGGATTATGATGTAACTTTACAGTATTATTGTTTATAACCCAAAATAACATATAGGCTATAATTTATGACGATCTGTGACAAACTTTTTAGAATTTTTTTTCTTCCAATTACTTATTGTACAGAAAACGTAATAACTTTTAAACTAAGCGGTATATCCTGATAAAATAAAAACAGTAATAATGCTAAATAACAGGCGATACTAAAAAAATACATAAAATACACAAAAAAGGCCAACAAATAATAAAAAATGATACTTTTTGAAAAAAAAAACTTCTTTTAAATTCGTGTTTTTTTGGTTATTTGATAAATTTCTCCAAAAAATGCCCCTATAACCGGTGGTTTTAGGGGCTTACTTTCTATTATTCTCTATCTACCTTTGTAAAACCAAAAATCGCATGTCTCTATTCCTATCACAACGTTTGCAATGATCGTTTGAACTATTCCTCTCCGGGCGCGCCATACAATGCTTTGTTAACAACGAAACTGAAAATGGCTCTAGATTTGTAATTTTGATAAAGAAAAGTTAGATTTCAAATAAAAACAAAAGATTTCGAAGTAAAATAAGCATTTTAGTTAAAATTAAAATTGTCTACCTGCAGCGGAGAATAATGTTGCAGGCTTTTGTTCAAACGATCATAGCAAATGTTGTGATAGGGATAGAGACATGCGATTTTTGGTTTTACGAAGGTAATACGATAGAAAATAATACAAAGTACCTAATAAAAACCACCTGTTATAGGGGCATTTTTTGGAAAAAATTATCAAATAACCAAAAAAACACGAATTTAAAAGCAGATTTTTTTCAAAAAGTGTCATTATTTTATTATTTGTTGGCATATTTTGAGTATTTTATGTATTTTTTTTAGTATTGCCTGTTATTTACCATTATTACTGTTTTTATTTTATCAGGATATACCGCTTAGTTTGAAAGTTATTACGTTTTCTTTACAATAAGTAATTGGAAGAAAATTTTTTTTATAAAAAATTTAAAAAAAATCTTAAAAATTTTGTTGACCTCTTTTTTGTCGATAAA